ACAACAGGGTTACCAGTTACTGGGACAGACCAGCGTCCAAGCAGAAGTGATGCATGGAGTACACGGATGAGGGAGAAGGTGCAATCTTTTTCTCTTAATTTGATTCTACCTAATACTGTTATGCAGTTTTTTGAGGTCATTTTGTCCTGACAGGTATGTGCACACACTTGAGTGTTCAATGTTTTCCCATCAAACACATATATTTGGCTTTGACTTAGCTTCCTTGGTTGTGATCTTAACTAAGAGACAATGGACATGATATTTACAAAGAATGTTTATTTATACACGTAGGCACACACATAAAGGAGTTATTTAGTTGAGAATACTTTATTATTATAAGAAACTAGAGAGCATCTGGTGCATTGCATGATCTTTTTGAAAAAAAGAAAAGGGAAAGAGAGTGAAGTGAAAAAGAAGGGAGCCTTGCGGCACTGACCAACCTGGTGACTACTTGAAATTTTTTTTATCGTCGATGAAGACAATGAGTGTTTATTAACCATTAGATCTGATTTGACTGATCCAGATTAAAAGATAAATGTATGTAAGTTTCTTAAGTGGTCACGTGAACGTCAACTAACTTTTAGTTTTGTCCAATACCATATATGGTAGTTTCTTCTGTTCTATGAATTTGTTGATCGTTTTAATTTTAATGAGTTTACTGAATATTATTCCATTTCAGAAAAAAACATTGAAGCATTTAAGTAGGGAATTTTCATTCTGTTGAATTCATGTCTTGAAGGATTGGCTAACCTAAATTACATCTAATGTTTTTTCGGATGTCACAACTTATTTTTTTAGCAGGGCATAATCCAATAAACTCTGTTGGTTAGCAATCGGTGTTTTTAGATTCATTATTCAACTAGTCTTTCCGTTCTTCGCTATTGGGTATTGTGTATGGTTTTGCTGACCAACAGTATTACTTTTTTTTTATTCAGTATGGACTTGATACTACGGAATTTACTTACAACCCATCTGAGTCGAGCAGGTTCCAGCAAGTAAACTCACAGCCATCTGAAGAAAAAAGCCGCTGCATCATAATGTGATTCCTCTTGAGTTTGTGTTCACAGCTCGTGCTGTTCTGGATCACACCATGACATGACCAACATCATATTCATGTTTTTTTTTATACATAGTCTTCATGTTAGTGTGGAATATTGTGCTGAGACATAAAAAATTTACAGTGATGTTACTTGTGTTCATAGATTAGGGGGTTTGTATTGTCTCACCAAAATATTTATCGCTTCTTTCTTGAAGGTGTGAATTGTGATTGTGAGAAAAAAAAAATAGTGGGAACACTCCACACTTCTCTTTGATTCTGAGAAGGCTCTGGAACATTTTTTGCTTATCACTTCTCCCTCCGCTAGAAGGTATGAACCGAACATACAATTGCTCTACATATTATAGATACTATCATTTATTCTTTATGTTGACCTTTTTAACTACGCCTCGTATGTCCATGACATGCATTAAACAGTATTTATTTTGCATTAATGAAAAAAAGAAACCTGCTAAACCCAGACCTATCAGTGAGATTAGTTTAAGATGAAGTCTCAAAACACTGAAGAATTATGCTTATAAAAAAAAAAACTTAAGTTACTTATCATATGTTATATCGGTATATTTCTTTTTTTAGTTCATCTAATAATTTTCTCATTAGGCTTCTTTAATTTTTTATTGATTTCTTCTTTATGAGGGATGTTCAATTTTCATTATATATGTAACATGAAGACGTTGAATCCTTATTTCATATGGTTTTTTGTTAGTAGTGACTAGTTGGTTGAATCACAAATTTTACTTTTTGTTTACTAATCTTTATTAAATCTTGAGACTCTATCAACTATATGTTTATCGAATAAAATTCTTGTAACTAAAGCTACTAAGGTTAAACTTTCATCTCTTTCTGTTATCTTTTTAAATTACTTAATCATTGGACATAAGGATACCTGTAAATATATTTTCACATTTAAATAAGACAAGATATAGATGATAAATATATAATTAATCAACAATGCATAAGTTAGGATTTATATTATTTTTATGGTTTTATTTGATCTTTATTAAAAGTCCATTACGATGTTAAGCAGATAAATTAAGTAATAATTCAATCATATTAGTTTAATTGACTAATTAATCTTATCCTACACTTTATATAGTATTTTGTAAAAGTTTATTCAGATCCTGTCCATGTAATGACCATACACGCAAATTTATTTTCTTTTACCTTTAAACATTCAACTAACGCAAATTTAATTTCTTTTATCTTTAAACATTCAACTAATTTTGAAGGAAAAATAAATCTAAAAAACTTTCATTGATATGTGATCTTTTGACATTTAGATGTAATTTCAATAATTAATAGTTATAACTTTTATATTATAATTATTATTGTACCAGTCTCAACGAGACTAAAGTTACTTCTAACATTAATATTTTGTAGTATCCTTAATGGTGACGTACGTGGACTTTATGATTACTGAAATTTAAGTTAGTATTGTTTTTTTATTAAAAAAATTATATAATGAATAAGTTTGAGAATTTTAGTTAATAAGTTAGGACAAGTTAGAATACTCTATTTTCGAATTATAAGTTGAATTATACTGAACAAAAAAAGTTCACCTAAATAAGATTATGATGTTTAAGTTAATATATTAAAAAAATAAATTGTAATGAGAATGCAATCTAAAGATATAATTCTCTTATTAAAATATTTTAATAATATGAATAATTAGATATATTATTTTATACATTATTATTAAATTGATATGTATTTAATTTATAAGAAAAAAATCTCTCCATGTATTTAATATCAAAATTTGGATAAGCGTAAAATTTATGCTCAAATAAAATAGAAGTGTTAAAAATATTAAATATTTTTCTCCAAATATTAAAGATAATTCATGAGTGATAATTGTGAATGGAGTAGTTAAAATATTGTAGATAATTACATATAAAAAGTAAGTTTAAATATATTTTTAATGTTAAAATATTTTTTCTTTTTATTTTACTCTTTCTTTAATTTTCTAACCACTCCCTTAGATAAAAATTCCAAGCTTTTATTCCTTTGTTAGAGGCTGCAAAACACATAATTTTAGCTAGGTAATAATGAAACCAGGTTCGAGTTCCTGAAAATAAAAAATCAAGTTGTAAAAAAAATAAAAAACAGAAAAGGTGTGATTTAATATCATCAATAAAAAAAAGAACCACAATAATGCAAAAAGTCAACAAAACCACAACTCAAACCCTAATAATTAACAAGCATACATAATTGATTAAAATGATGACTATAGGCTTTTATATTTTACAAATGATTTTTATAACTAGCTACTATTACAATGATTTTGTCAAACTAGAAAAGTAAAACATAAATAGTTATAAAAGTTGACTAAATTATTATTAATTGAATCATTGTTAATTTACATACATAATTGATTAATTGACTAAATAGTATTAATATTATTTAGTAATAATGAATAATTTCAAGTGCACGTGAGTTAATAACCATCAAAAAATGATTGTTAAAAATATGTTAATCAAAAACATAAAATTAAAATAAATTAAACAATTATTTCATTTATTTTTAATTTAATTATACAATTATTTGATGTCAATTTAGATCCTCTCACTGTTAGAATGTGGTAGTTATTTCATAAAAAATATATTTATTGATATATAATATTATCATAAAAATTATATATTTCAATGTAATGTCAATAATTATAGTTCCCTGTGAATAAATACTATTGTATTAATATTATATTACACTTTTTATTAGATAATTTATTAGGATTAATTTATTTTAAAACTGGGATTAAATTAAAACTAAACTTAATAATAAAACAAAATTAAAAAAATAAATTAATGACACTTGAAATATTAAAAACTGTCTACCGTTAAAAATGGAATCGTCCATTACACCGCAATTTCGGGGGTTGGTGTATGATAAAAAACACCAGAGCGAAACGAATCGGACCGTTCAGATAGATCAATGGTTTAAAAAGTTTAATCACTATTTATTAATTATTTTGGTTTAAAATTAAAGGTGGGGATCATCGTTCACATTTTCTTTGACGCTGTAGACGATTCTATGCCATTGCCAGAGTGGCATTTTGTGCTTTGTCACTTTTTCTGCGTTTTTTATTCTCTTTTCTTCTCTGTGGCTGATTCGGAAAGTTAAGCTTTGCATTTCGGAATCCAAAGTCTTCGATTTCTTCTGTAAGTTCTCTCATAGACCCACTTCTCTCGTCTAGTCGTTTATTGAATCGCTGAAGTTCTTCTTCTTCTTCTTCTTCTTCTTTTATTTGTACTTTATTTTATTTTTCAGTTGCATTTTAATGCAAATAGGGCTCAATTGCATTTGATCAACATTGCTGTGAAATTAGGAATATAAATTTGCATTTATTATTTATATCATTGGCGGATATTGCTTCCCTTTTTAAGTTTTAGGAATGTTTTTCTGATTTTTTGAATCAAACGATTAGGTCTATAATTGGATAAAGTTGAAAAAATATTTTTGCATAATTCTTTGCACGCTTCTGAATTCCAATACACAAAATGAGGAGCGAAGAAAATATTGCTATGGAAAACCAAAAGTAGTTTTATGCTCTCAGTCATCGAAGTACAAACATGCATTAAGTTGTGAACCTCAGTATCGGAAGCTAAAATGTATTTTTATCCCCAAAGAAACAAATTCTTCCTTCTTCGTTTTGAGCTTTGGAATTCAGTAATGTGTGATAGAATTCCCAAAAACACTTCACAATTTTATCCTAACATAGCTTAAGTTATTGTTGTTATTAGTTTCTGTCTTTTTGAGACAGTTGTAAACGGACAAGTTGAAGATAACATATCTCTTAAAATTCTAATTGAACTGCTGATGTTATTGTTTGTCCAATAGTTTTATTTATTTCTCAACTAATAATGTAGAGAAGTGTCTGTCTGTTTCTGCAGAAATATATATAGGGCATTGGTCCCTTTTTTGAATTGTGGATTGTTATAGGTAGAGGATGGCATGTAGAGGATGCTGGGAGTTCCTTTTGAAGCTTTTGAACTTTATTTTGACCCTGACTGGTCTGGCCATGGTGGGCTATGGAATCTATCTTTTTGTTGAATTCTCTAAAGCTTCAGATGATGACACTCCGGAAATTTCTCCTGTCAGTGATGATTCTGCTCTGATTCAACTTGGCCGGCCCATGCTTATGGCTGTGTCATTATCTAACAGCTTTTTTGATAACTTGCCCAGGGCATGGTATGCGTGTTTCTCTCTTCTTGCACTTTTGACGCATATACATTAATTTATGTTTATTCTTGACTCGATAGAAGTTTTGTTTTGGTTATACTTTGCTGCCTAATATCTAAGTTTGGCTGTAAATTACATTCATGCTGACAAAGTTTTTCTTCTATGACGATATTTTACATACATATACTAAACTATCCCCTTTTTTTATCATAGTACCGTTAGTACACATACACAACACATAAAATTAATTTTGAAGTAGAAAAAGACAAATCTCACTCTAATTCTTGATATCATATTTACAGGTTTATTTACTTGTTTATTGGTATTGGAGTAGTTCTCTTTCTTATTTCTTGTTTCGGTTGTATTGGAGCTGCAACACGGAATGGATGCTGCCTGAGCTATGTATCCTATTAGAATGTCTCATGCTACAGTAAAAAATTGTTTCATGGTCTCATAAAATTCCACTCATATACCCAAAAGAAAAATGAGTTTAAGTTTCTGCTCTTCTCTCCTAGTGTATATGTGTGTGTGAGGGTTCATATATACATGGCATTAATCTGTACTATTCAAAGGATTTGTTATTAATTTCCTTAAGTGAACAAAGTATTCGATTTTGGTGGTATTATTGATCTTGATAGAGCTGGGATGTGCTGCCTTTATATTTTTTGACAAAAACTGGAAAGAAGTAAGTAAAATTTGTCTGCGGTAATTTGCATTTCGAAATTAAAGATGTATTTTCCATCTTATGATAATGTTTTATTCAGGAAATTCCGAAAGATAAAACGGGAGATTTTGATGCGATATATGAATTTCTGAGTGAGAATTGGAATATTGTGAGGTGGATTGCTCTTGGAATAGTCGTCTTTCAGGTAAGCAAGAGATGTATGATTGACATTCCTCTATTGTTTTGCTGCCTTGTATCTTTGTGCTTGTCCTCACAGGTCACAGATAATAGTCTCTAGGATTATAATCAAGCTATCTATTTTATATAGGATTTAATTTAGAATAGGCCAATAACAGATTGAAAATGCTTGAACTCTTGATAAGGATAATACACTGTTTTTTTTTTATCGATAGAAATCTAGATACCAGGAAGACAAGGAAAATGAATTACCACCATACTGCTAATAGTTTCATGGTAATCACTTGTCAATCATCATCAACAATAGGATTCTCCTGCCCCCTATTTCCCGATTTCTTGGATACTTGGATTTGAAGTCTGACCCAGCTCATAGCCAACATTTCTGTGATGCTTCTTTATTGATGAAAAATGGAATTACTGGGGGACTTCATTTCTTGACCTCAAAGAAACTAATACCAATTGATTTAAGATATTTCGATGAAAAAGAGAAGCCTGGAAGAGATAAAGTGAAAGAATATCATGGACTGAGAAGATTGAAATACACTTGTTAAGCACGGATCAACTTTGAAATTCAGTTATTTGTAAATGGTGCGCCTGTGAGAAACCTTAATTTTTCAAATGTACTTGTGTAACTTATTGAAAATGTCCATCAAATCCCGACTTACCTACCACCAGAAGCAAAGGAAGTGGCCTATAGTAATGAAAGCTTTATACATCTGTGTGATGTAATGTTCTCATTGTTATGTTTTTGGAAGATAAAATTTGTTTAGGATTCTTATCATAAAATTTTGCAGACCCTTCTTTTCCTGTTAGCCCTTATTGTCAGGGCTGCAAATAGGCCAGCAGAATATGACAGTGATGAGGAGTTCATTAATCCAAGACAGCAAGTGCGGCAGCCATTACTCAATAGACCAGCAGCAGGCCCAGCAACAGGATTACTGGCTCCGGGGACAATTGACCAGCGATCAAGCAGAAATGATGCATGGAGTACAAGGATGAGGGAGAAGGTGCAATCTTTTTTCTCTTAAGTTGAGTTTAGCTAGTATTGCTATGCAATTTCTTTCATGTCTTTTTGTTTTAACAGTTATTTATACACGCTTGAGTGCTCCTTGACTGTGCTGTATAGAACCATACTTGTGTTTGTCTGGTGCAATCCAGTATTTTTAGCGTCATGGTTACATTTTCCCACACAATAGATATGATCTTTGCACAGGTTGTTTATACATACATGCCCAAAGGAGTTATTTAGGTGGAAATATTTGATTATTATAGCAAGTATAGACAATGAATGGATATTAATTATTAGATCGAATTTTACTGATCTAGATTAGAAGATATAAACATAATTTTTTTAAATGGTGACATGATTATCATCTAACTTTTAGTTTTGAATATCCATATATATGAAAGTCTTTTCTGGTCTATGAATTTGTTGAACATTTTAAGTTGAATGATTCTTGATTAAAATATTATTCCATTTTGGGGAGAATATTTAATCATTGAATAACATTGTTATTGGATTTCATGTGAATCTTTATGGAGTTTTCAGTCCAGGTCATTCCGTTGAGTTCATGTCTTAAAAAGGTTGGACTTAATTGAAAAACATAAAAATCATTCTATATTTTTATTCATATTATTTTTGTACACATATACTATGATCTTATAGTATTTTACTCTAACAAATCAGGATTAAATATAAGAAGTTCTGATTATACAATATTTTGTACCGCTATACAAACCTATAATTTAGCTAATCAAATATCTTTATCCCAACACTCCCCCTCAAGTTGGTAAATGGATGTCATACATTCCCAACTTATCCAATAATCTCCTAAAAATCTGACTTGTCACAGCTTTGGTAAGAATGTCTGCCAACTGATCTTCAGATCGAATATTTGGCAATTCCAAAATATTTTTATCAAGCTTTTCCTTGATGAAAAATCTATCAACTTCCACATGCTTCATACGATCATGTTGGACAGGGTTGTGAGCAATGTCGCACGTAGCTTTAGTATCACAATACAACTGAATGAGACGTGTATGTGTATACCCTAAATCCTGGAGAAGTAGTCTGAGCCACAAACCTTCACAAAGTCCAAGAACCATTCCTCTAAGTTCAGCTTCTACACTGGATCTAGCTACAACTTTTTGCTTCTTGCTTTTCCATGTGACAAGATTACTTCCTACAAATGTAAAGTATCCAGAGGTTGATCTTCTATCATCAAGAGCACCTGCCTAATCTGCATCAGTATAAACCATCACATCCTTGTAGTTGGAGTTCTTCTTGAACATAACTTCTTTTCTAGGAGCAGCTTTTATATACCTTAAAATCCGTAAAACAACATCCATGTGTTTTTTACCTGGATTGTGCATGAACTGGCTAACCACACTAAGAGCATAAGCTAAATCTGGCCTAGTGTGTGAGAGATACATCAATCTCTCTACAAGTCTCTGATATTTTCCCTTGTTAGTTGGAGTTTGATCTTCTTCAATACATAACTTCAATCCCTCTTCAATTGGAGAATTTGCTGGTTTGCATGTTGTCATTCCAGTTTCTTTTAGTAAATCCAATGCATACTTTCGTTGTGATAGAAAAATATCTGACTTTGATCTTGAGACCTCAATTCCAAGAAAATATTTCAAAGGACCAAGATCTTTCATCTCAAATTCCTTTGCCAAGTACTCTTTCAATGCCTTGCGTTCCTCTAGATCGTTTCCCGTAACTATCATGTCATCAACATAGACAATAAAAATTGTAATCTTTTCTTCCTTTTTCTTTAGAAACAAGGTATGATCTTGGTTGCTCTGTTGGTATCTAAAAGCAAGCATTGACTTGGTGAATTTACCAAACCATGCTCGTGACGATTGATTTAGTCCATACAATGACTTCTTCAACTTGCATACCTTCTTGCTATGTGTATTTGGAATCCACATCCTTCTGGTAGCTTCATATAAACTTCTTCAGACAATTCTCCATGTAAGAAGACATTTTTTACGTCAAATTGTTGTAAGGACCAATCAAGGTTTACCGCTAGAGATAACAATACTCGAACTGTACTAATTTTGTCTACGGGAGCAAACGTTTCAGTGTAATCTATTCCATATGCTTGTGTGTACCCCTTTGCCACTAATCTAGCTTTGAATCTCTCAATTGTGCCATCTGCATTAAATTTCACAGTATACACCCATCGGCATCCTATTGGTTTCTTTCCAACTGGACAATCTACTAATTCCCATGTTTTATTTCTTTGCAAGGATCTCATCTCCTCATTCATAGCATCCTTCCACCTGGAGTCAGCTAAAGCTTCTTGCACATTGTTAGGAATAGATACAGTAGATAATTGACTTATAAATGCGATATTTGAGTTAGACAAATTCTGGTTACAAACATAATTACTCATAGGGTATCTTATCTTACTGGTGAGGTCAGGATCATAAGTAGGTTTAGGGATACCTCTAGTGACACGATCTGACAGAATTCTTTTTTCTGTATTAGATTCTTGAGGAGACGATTGATGTGGTATATCATTAGCATCAATAGACAAATTTTCGATCTCAACGTGCTCAAAATCTTCCTCATTATGTGGTTGTTGATCATAACATTGTTGCATACTTTCATCATCTCTTGATACAACTTTGTAACTTTCTTTCTCCAATTTGATCTCAATATCAATTTCTTGAGGAACAAAAGTCTGAACTTCATCATAATTCTCCCCCTCAATTTCAGACTCGGGGGAAAAATATATCAAAGTTTCATGAAAAATTACATCTATAGTAGTAAATATTTGCTTGGTTTGTGGATTGTAGCACTGATATCCTTTCTGGTGATCCGCATAGCCAAGGAACACACACCTTTCAGCTCTAAGAGACAACTTACTTCTCTGATGCTTGTGTAAGTGAACATAAGCAACACAACAAAAAACTCTGTGTTAGTTCAACAATTTTAGGACTTACTACTGCATCTGTAAGTGATTGAAGAGGTATTTTATACTCAAGAGACCTGGACGATGTTCGGTTGATAGTGTATATTGCATATGTGAGAGCTTCTCCCTAATATATTGCTGACATGTGAGCTCTAATTAGTGCAGCTCGGACCACCTCCAATAGATGACAGTTCTTTCGTTTTGCCATCCCATTCTGTTGTGGAGTACTTGGACAAGATCTTTGATGAACAATTCCTTTGGCTACTAAAAAATGTTGAAGTTCTGATTACATATATTCTCCTCCGTTGTCAATGCGCAGTACCTGAATTTATGTTTTTTATTGGGTCTCAATCATTTTGCAGAATTTCTGAAATAGTCCTCCAACTTCACTTTTAGACTTTATCAAACATAACCAAGTCATTCGAGTACAATCATCAATAAACGTTACAAACCACGTTGAGCCACCCAACGTTGTAACCTTAGATGGACCCCATACATCAGAGTGAATGATCATAAAAGGAAGAGAACTTTTATTTAAAATTAAAGGAAAATGTGTTCTATGACTCTTTGCAAGCTCACAAACATCACAATAAAAAGTTGAAGTGTCTACTTGGTCAAATATATTTGGAAATAATTTATTTATGTAACCAAAAGATACATGTTCTAGACGCTTATGCCATAACCAAATATCCTCGCCTTTTCTTACTTCTTGAGACCCTTTTTTTACTAGCACTTGACCAAGTCTCTTTGAATCTTTTTCTGTCAGGTCCAGGTAATACAACCTTCTTCGCCTAATACCACAACCAATCGTCTTCCTCGTTTGAATATCCTTAAAAACACAAGAGTCAGGCCCAAAAATTACAACACATAAAAGAGCTTTGGTTATTTGCGAAACTGACAATAGGTTATATTTAAGAGAAGGAACAACAAGGACAGTATCAAGATTCAATTTGTTTGAAATATAGATAGTTCCTTCTCCAATAATAGTGGATTTACTACCATTGGTTGTGGATATACCTTTTTGTGAGGAAGGTTTAAGATTTTTAATTTGTCTAACATCAAAAGTCACATTATCAGAACATGCAGAGTCAGAACGGTAGATGTGCTTATTAAAGCCTTACCATTATAATCATAACTACCTGCGATTGTAGCAAACATCATGCATTTGTCGTCCTCTTTGTCAATGGCAGTTACAGCAGCAGCAATTGGATTTCTTTTTGAATTCTTCTTCGATGCTCGACTGTGATCCCACCACTCTGGGTATCCTATGATTTCATAGCATCGTTCTTTGGTGTGTCCATCCTTATTACACTGAGTACACTTGTAGTTACTTTTTTCAAAATCTTTTGATTGCTTCGATTTGCTGTGGTGATTTGCTGGCTGCTTCTTTGTCATCATAGCTGTGGGATCAGAAATCATATCTTCTGTTTTCAACGTTGTTCGTCGGACTGTCTCTCTCCGGATCAATGCATAACATTCTTCTAAATTAGGTGTCACTTCCTTGCGCAAGATTTCTCCACGAACTTGCTCAAAATCATCATCTAGTCCAGTAAGGAATATATGCACCCTTAATCTTTCAATAGACTTCTGATATGACTTCACATCATCAGGGTCCTTCATGACTACTTTGTCACGATGGTCCAATTCCATAAAAATCTCAACCAACTCCCCATAATATTCAGTTAAGATTCTATTATTTTGTTTTGCAGTGAATACCTTTTGATTCAGGGCAAACACCTGTAGCTCATCACTTCCATCATAAAATGCCTTTGACAAAACATTCCAAATATCGAGGGCAGTGGGTAAGCAAATATATCTTTTCATAATTTATGGCTTTATGGACATCAATAACCATCTTTTCACTTTTTGGTTTTCTGCATACCATTTTTCATATCCCTCATCGTTCTCTGTTGGAGGCTTCACCTTCCCACGGATATAGGACAATTTTTCCCTCTCTGCAATGTGCATCTCTATTAGTTGTGACCATACGTCATAATTGGATTCATTTAGGATGATGCCTGCGTTGAAGACACCTTCCGATTGAACAACCATTGGAATTAGTTTTTCTGTCATCTCTCCAGTTAAGATCTCCAAGGATTTTGAAAGAAAAAAGTTATAAACTCTGGTACCAAATTGAAAAACATAGAATTCATTATATATTTTTATTCATATTATTTTTGTAGACATATACTATGATTTTATAGTATTTTACTCTAACAAATCAGGACTAAATATAGGAAGGACTAAATATAGAAAGTTCTGATTATACAATATTTTATACTGTTATACAAATCTTTAATTTAGTTAATCAAATATCTTTATCCTAACATGCTTAATGTCAATATCATCTAATATTTTTTTCTGATGTCACACATGGTTCAAAATAGGACATCTTTTAGCGTAGGACATCTTTCAAACCAAGATCAGTGTAAAATTATTATTATTGTTGTTTTTGTTGTTGTGGAGGTTGTTGTTTCATTATCTTACAGCAAGCACACACGTGAATATCAGTTTTGTTAGGTGATTATCAGTATGTGGAATTTACTGTCTAACACCATTACTGTTGTTATTCAGTACGGGCTTGATACTTCGGAATTTACATACAATCCATCTGAGTCGAGCTGGTTCCAGCAAGTAAACTCACAGACAACTGAAGAAAAGAGCCGTTGCACTATAATGTGATCACTTTTGCCGAGTTTTTGTTCACATCTCGCGCTGTACTGGATCACTCCCTGGCATGGCCACGATCATTTGCATGTTAGTGTGTTATATTGTGCTGAGACATCGAAATTTACAGTGGCGTCATAGATTAGGGAGAGTAGTGAATTCATTAGATGCTCATGTTGTCCTGCCTTGTTTTGAAGTGATCCTTACTCATTGCTAGCTAGTTGGGAAAATTATGATTTTGTCCCTAACCCCATGTTTGTTTTGATTTGTTTGGGAGGAAAAAAATTGGAAAGGAAAAATATGAGTGTGATTTTGAGTATTTTCTTTGTTTTGATGGAAATTAGAAGTTGTGGGCATCAGTTTATTTTTTTCTTCCACCTTATCCTAATTGTTGGATGGATAGTGCTTATGAAATATTGGTCAAAAATTAAATATACTTTTTACAATGTAAAAAATTAAAATAGTAATAACAAATAATAATAATAATAATAATAATAATAATAATAATAATAAATACTTTTTGTAAAATTAATACAGAAAAAAATATAAATATTTTTTATTAATATAAATTAATTTTGATTTTTTTTCTATTTTTTGTAGTCATTCATACAAGTGGAGAGAAAACTTTCAACTGTTTTTATTTTTCATTTCATTCCATCCGCATATAAAACAAACTTTCCTCCTTATTTTTCTTTTATCTTCCTTTTTTTATTTTCTCTTTATTTTATTCTCAAACCAAATAAAGCGAAAGTTCTTATTGACTTTAATTTGTTTCCTGCAGGATAATTAACAACGATTTAATTTTCTATAAAAGCTATCGTTTAAGGTGGTGTGTTTATTTTAATTATAAAAGTTTATAAGCTATACGAATTATTTATTAAATATCTAAGATTGTTTATTATTTTAAAACAACACAATATCTTATAAAAAATAAAAAATATTTGCATTCTAAATTACTAAACTATCTCTAAAATGGTAAACGGTGTATAAATAATTTAATATAAAATAAAATATTAATAAATAAATATATTATCTAAACTTTTGATATTTTTCAAGTAAATATAAACACGCATTAGAAAATTAGAAGTAGAATTAAGACAATAGATTAATAAAATGTTTGATATATTTTTATATACAAATTAACAAGTGTTGGTTTGGTGGTTGTGGAAAAGTAAAAGTCAAACTTTAAACAATATCCTAAATATTTTTACCAGTTTTTAAAAGATTCGTTGCATTTTAGAATTAAAATGTGCATAATTTTAAAATGTGGGTCCTTTTATTTATGCTGTAATGGTTTTCTTAAATTCAATGATTAATAAATTAATACTACTTAGTAATTGATTATTGTCGCTTATCAATCAATTTTCACACATGATAAGAATTTAACAGGAGTTCTGGCTAATGCCTAACTATTACACCAAGTTACAGGGTTTAAAATGTGAGTTTAAAATTAAATGTATAAGATTTTTTTTTTTTACATGTGTTAAAACGTTGAAAGTTAGACAAAATTAAAACTTTAATTTTTTAAATGAACAATTTCCAGAATTAAATCAATTATAATTCGAAGTTTCAAAAATTATTTTGTTACTTTATAATTTTAGAAAACCAATTATTTTATATTCTTAATTTATTGCAAGTACCAAACACGGGGTCAAGCAAGACTGGTAGTTCAAAGCGATCCAATGGTTCACAATTTTTAACCACTATTCATAATTATTTTGCTTTAAAGTTACAGGTTGAGATCGTCTACATTTTAATGGAGGCTATTATAGACGACCATGCCTATGCCAGAGTGGCAATTTGTGCTTTGTCACTTTTCCTGTGTCTTCTTTTCTCTTTTCTTCTCCATAGCTGATTGTAATTTCAGTCTTCGAAATTTGCAACTCGAAATCGTCGATTTCTTCGGTAAGTTCTTGCAGCTTTGACTCACTCATCTCTTCTCGTAATTTATTTATTTGTTTCTTCATTTTTTGTTTAATCAATTGCCGAAGCTGTTGTTAATTTTCTGAGTTGCACTTCACTGCAAATAGGGCTCAATTGCGTTCTAAACAACACCAGTACTTTTTATTTATAAAGGAATTAGGGATATAAGTTTGCATTAAGTATTTATGTAATTTTAGATATCGCTTCTCCTTTTTCGTTTTAGAAATGTTTTTCTGTCTTTTGTAAATCAAACGACGTTGAACATCAGTTCGGGACCTCCAGAAGTACTTTTAACTCGAAAGTAACTTATTCTTACTTCATTTTGAGCTTTGGAATTCAGGAACGTACATTAGAATTCTCGAAAGCACGTTCTCTACTTTTTTTTTTCAAAAAAAGAGCTTAAGTTATTGTTTGTATTAGTTTCTCTCCTTTTGAGACATAAACGGACAAGTTGAAGTTACAATGTCTCTTAAATTCCTAATTAAAGTACAGGTGTTACAGTTTTTGTGATAGTTTTTATTTATTTGTTACCTGAGACCTGATCCTGTAGGCAAGTGCCTGTTTGTTTCTGCTGAAAATAGATATAGGGCATTGGTCTACTTTTTGAACTGTGGTGGAGGGATTAAAGTACTGTTATAGGTAGACGATGGCATGTAAGGGATGCTGGGAGTGCCTTTTGAAGCTTTTGAACTTCATATTGAGCCTTACTGGTCTGGCCATGGTGGGTTATGGAATCTATCTTTTCGTTGAATTCTCTAAAGCTTCAGATGGTGGCGAAACTCTTACAACTTCTCCTGTCAGTCGTGATTCCGCTCTGATTCAACTTGGGCGTCCCATGCTTATGGCAGTGTCTCTATCCAACAGTTTTCTTGATAACCTGCCCAGAGCTTGGTATGAGTGCTGCTCTCTTGCCACTTTTGATTTGGGAGCATATTCATTGATTTACGGTTATTCTTGACCTGCTAAAGGTTTGATTTTTGGTTGAATTTTGCTGCACCAATGTGCTATCTGTTATCTAGTTTGGCCTTAGGTTGTATTCATGCTGACAAAGCTTTTTTCCCCCAGGTGTTGGGGGGAAATTCGCTTTAACGGCTCGTAACAATGTAGTAATCAGTATTGTATGAAATGCGTAGTTAAGTTAGGAAACAGTTCTTAGTTGCTCTAGAAAAATCATGGGTCAAATGCATTCAGTACTTTACGCTGAAGATAACAGGCTTTAGAGTTGGAATCAACCTCTTAATTATATTATATTGAACAGCTACTAGTTTTAGGTATGTGCTGCTATATATCATTATGTTTGATTTTGGTCATGTTTAGTGAGATTTGCAAGATGGAACTTTTGGAATGTTTGTTCAATCGATTGTGAAGTTGTGGGTATGAAATAATTAGAGCTTAAGAAGATAAAATTAAGGCTAAGCATCGTCCTTTGTTGGTGTGATTGTTCTGCCATTCATTATTCTTACCATTGATTAAGAAGGAAACTTTAATCAACTTAACTTTCTACACTTTCCAGCATGGCCTGCAAAATGTGAATTTGAATTAACTTTTATTTTTTTTCAGATGTATTTCTTTTTTACTAAAGAAAACCACAATAGAATATAGCATGTAGTATTTTGTCCCTTGTTTTTCTTCAATTATTATTATTGTAAGTTAATGAAGCTTTATGATCCCAATGCATCACTTTTTGTTCATTCTTAAGGCATGATTGATATTTTACATTTATATAACAAACTCTCCCATTTTTAGCTTATAGCATAGTTAGTACACATACACAGCGCATAATTACTTTTGAAGTTGACAAAGACTAATCTCACTCTAGTTCTTTATTTCATGTTTGGCAGGTTTATTTTTTTATTTGTTGGTGTTGGCCTTGTTCTCTTTCTGATTTCTTGTTTTGGTTGTATTGGAGCTGCAACACGGAATGGATGCTGCCTGAGCTGTGTATCCTATTAGTGTGCCTCATGCTACAGTATAAAAATATTTCATGGTGTCATAAATTTCCATTCATATACAAAGAAAACATTAGTTTAAGTGTCTGCTCTTCTCTCCTAGTGTAAATGCATAGTTACATGCATTGATCTGTACTAATCTAAGGATCTGTTATTGATTTTCTTAAGTCAACACAGTATTCAATTTTGGTGGTAGTATTGATCTTGGTAGAGCTGGGATGTGCTGCCTTTATATTCTTTGACAAAAACTGGAAAGAAGTAAGTAACATTGTCTGTGGTGATTTGTGACATATATTTAAGGTGTATTTGTCATTTATAATTATATTTCATTCAGGTAATTCCAACAGACAAAACTGGAGATTTTGATGCGATATATGAATTTCTGAGTGAGAATTGGAATATTGTGAGATGGTTTGCCCTTGGAATTGTTATCTTTGAGGTAAGCAAGAAGTTGTACGATGGCATTTGAAAGAAAGCGTTACTGTTTTGCAGTCTTTTGTCTTTGTGCCTATAACCACGGGTAGCAGATAATAGTTTCTAGGATTGCAAGCCATCCATTTAATATAGGATTTTATTTAGATTGGGCCCATAACCGATAGAGAACAATTTAACTCTTGACGAGGATGGTGATTTGAGATGTTGAATTTGAATCATCAATGTAAACCCCCTTTGATAAATCAAATTCAACATCTCACATTATTTTCTGGACGAAATTTCAAGAAAATTGTAGAAAAAGAAAAGGTAAAAAGTGAATTGAGATCTAGAAATGGAGATTAATGCTATTATCCATAATGATTGTCAGGTTCAGGGAAATTCATCACTTTGAATTATAAGAAATTCAAATATTAGAATCAAATCAAGGGTTGTTCTTAAGAATGCAGAGAGATTTTTTGTCACAAGCATAAAACTTTGTTCACAAATGAGTTAATACTTCTTACACAAGTCAGCAATTGACAACTTATATATTATGGACACAAGACTACTTAGGTCCATCAAACTCATTAGCTTGTGGTCCAATATCTAAAAAGTTAGATAACAAAATGCGACTCATATAAAAGCCCAATTACACACACATAAAAATAATACAAAAAGTCCAACAATGACCCAATAAAATATTGCACAATATTCATAATATAATAGTTGGCTCTAAATTAGCTGAAGCCTCCTTCCTCTTCCTTTGAAGCTTCCTAGTTCTTTGACAAGGAATTTTCTAAACAATGTGCCTGTGAGAAGCCTTACATTGTTTGTATAGTTATAATATATTAGTTCTGCTTCTCAAATGTGCTTGAGTGCCTTGTTGAATGTCTTAGCAAATCCCCACTTACCTACCACTAGAAGGAAAGGGATGGATCTATAGTATTGAAAGCTTTATACCTGTGTGTGCCAGTTGTTATGTTTGTGGGACATGAAATTGGTAGGATTCTTTTCATATATTACTAAAGGAATGTGTATAAAATTGCAGGTCCTACTTTTCCTGTTAGCCCTTATTGTTAGGGCTGTAAATAAGCCAGCTGATTATGATAGTGACGCGGAGTTCATTAATCCTAGGCAGCAAGTGCGACAGCCATTACTCAACAGAACAGCAGCTGCCCCAGCAACAGGGTTACCAGCTGGGACAATTGATCAGCGTCCAACCAGAAATGATGCATGGAGTACACGGATGAGGGAGAAGGTGCAGTCTTTTTCTCTCAAGTGACTTTATCTAATATTGTTATGCAGGTTTTTTTTTTATATATATATTTTTGTCTTAGCAGGTATGTGTACACACTTGAGTGCTCCAGGATTGAGCTGGATGGTACCATGCTTTTGTGTCTGTTGCAATCTTGACTTTTTAGCCTAGTGGTTCTTAAACAATTTCCCTTGCTATCCAGACTTTTTAACACAGATACATACATATTTTATGAATTTGTTGAGCATTGTAATGAGTTTCCTGTTTGTAATATTATTCCATTTCACAAGAATATTGAAACATTGAAATAGCAGCGTTATTGTTGAGTTCATGTTTTTAGATTTATCATTATTCCATTAGTCATCCCATCCTTAATTATCTCTTATCGTTTGTACATGGAGTCACTGAAAAATACATGTACTGTCGGACACATTATTATTAGCTTTGTTAGATGATTGATTGGTGATGTCTGTGGTTTACTGTTTAACACTATTACTGTTGTTATCCAGTATGGACTTGATACTTCGGAATTTACATACAACCCATCTGAATCGAGCAGGCACCAGCAAGTAAACTCACAGCCAACAGAAGAAAGGAGCCGCTGCACCATAATGTGATCTCATTCGCCGAATGTGTTCACAACTCACGCTGTACTGGATCACATCATGACATGGCCAACATCATCTTCATGTATGTGTGTAACATTGTGCTAAAAGTAAAAAATTTACAGTGGCGGAGCTGTAAATAAAACCCTAGAAATGGTTTCATTTGCTTGTTTGTTGTGGATTTTCTGCTTTGTAACAGTTCAATTTGAAGTTAATTAAACCACGGCATTTCTCCGTCGATAAACTGACATTGAACTACGTTGCAGTGCAATATGATCGACTGATAAATAGGAGACTATCTCCTTTCTCATTCCGAAAATGATAATTCTGAAATCTAAAACTGCACTACATTTCAGCTTAATATTTTCGGAATGAAAAGAAGGATGCTGCTAGCTGAGACTTTGGGTACGTAGGAAGCTTTGGCCAAGGCACATTTAGAGGGCGTTTGGTACTATTTGTTTTTTTCATACGGAAATTATAATGCTGAAAATTAAGATTCTTTGGAATGACTTAGACTTACTTTAGTTAGTTTGATTAGTAAAAATATTTTAAGGAATATTTATGTAAGTTTTCAAAAATTAAAGATTAATATGTTATTTTAACTAAAAAGAAATAATTTGTTATCATATTAAATAATTAAAAAAAAAACTGATTCTTTAAATTAAATTTTTTGTCCGGAAAATTTAGATATTTAATTTTGTTTTTAAATGTTTTGTGGAAAACTCCGTTAAAAAAATATATTCAAACATTCCTGAAAATATTATATTTTAAAAAATAAGCCAGATATAGGAAATAAAATTTTCATGTTCAAATTTTCGGAAACTTTTTTTTTTTTTATCTTGAATTATTTTTCTTACGTGTGGTAATTGGTAAAGTAAGGACCTGGGCTATGTTATCGTGTAGGTGTGAAAAAACAAAGTGTGAGAACTAAACTTCTCTTTGGTTGCACAGAAGTAATGAGGTGCACCAAAAGAAGATAGTATTAATAATATGTTTTAGAAAGAGAACCAAATTGGTTTTAGAGGGTACTCTCTGCCGTCAAAAAAACATCTTTTGATTACGAATTAATTAAATATGTTTTAGAATGCTCTGGAACGTTATTAGGCTATTATTCTAAACTTCTCTTCTCTTGTCGCATACTTTTTATAACCACACAGACATATACATTATCAGTCATGCTGAACGTCTACGTTATCACTTTTTTTAATTATTTTCTGCACGAAACATGCATCATATTTCCATGCCATGCAAAATACATTATTTATTATGCAGCTAATGAATTCACTCACGTAACTGAAGCTTTGAAGCTTCCAATCACATGGTAGCAATATTTTTATTTTTCTATTTATTCCACCCATTTTCTCTCTACCCTTCTTTATTCATGTCATTGGATTCTTCCATGGAAAAAGAGCACATATGCTCCATTTTCATTGGCCCTGTAACGCTCAAGATGTTGTTGACTTTCTTATTTCATGTGGTGATGAGTTGGCTCAATAACACTTCCATTTCTTTTCCTATGCATTTTTTAATCCCTTCAATTTTATTTTATAGGCCATTTTTATCCCCTATAACCTATCCCAATATTCTGTGTCCATGTTGCTAGCTACAATCCAAAATGTAAACAAGACAAAGAACTGATGATGATAAAGTTTAATACTGTTGTTAATGATGGTTGTTGATTATATTGTGTTTATGCAAAGATCTTGATTCCTGTATAATTCTATTGATTTCTTATTGTGAAGTACTCACAAATTGTGTCACTCCTGCTTTAATGGTAGAATAAATCATATATTTCTGAAAAACTGATAGTTTACAAATACATATCTTTTGTGACTATTCTATAATAGAATTTATTTTATAGTATTATTAATTTAAATAACTTAATTACTTTAATTGTTCTTAATAAATTACATATTTATTTTTTACGTATAGATTGTACGGTAGGGAGGGATAGATAGAGATGACCTCGGCCAATAAGGTCACAGAACTTAAAAAGGATACATCTTTAATTAAAAAAAAAAAAAAGAGACACAACAAATTAAATAAATAAGAAAATCTTCAAGATATATCTCAAATGATTCAATAAATAAAAAATATTAAAATCTAATTTTTCGTTGGAATGGAAATAAAAATATTATATTGATATATATATATATATATATATATTAAGAATAAAAATTAAAAGTTTATTTTTTATTTTTAATTAATATTATAAATAAAATGAGTTGTTATTTTAGATTATTGAATTATTAATAAAAATTAAGATTATTCTCTTTCAAAACAAGTATATATATATATATATATATATATATATATATATATATATATATATATATATATATATATATTCTAACTTGTAAGGTCGGTTTAAAGGTTTGAATTGGATTTATATTTGTATCTTTGCGACACAAGTAAAGTCAAACGCAGACAAAAATATATTGTGAATTAACTTTCAACTTTATCTAATTTTATAAACAAAAATTTAAATAGATAATTTTAAAATACGGTTTGTTAATTTTTTAAACCCACAATAAACTGTTTTTTCTTTCGTTATTATACCTCTGTTAATTAATTGTAAACATCAAAAGCAGTAATAAATTAATGATAATAAAGTTAATTTGATATAAACTTTGTTATGCTTTTCATCTATTTTCTTACTTTTCTTGGTCTATAAAGAAACACATAGAACAAACTTATTATGGGATGAAAAATTAATTAATTTTGAATGAAGAAAAATTGAGTTGGATCGTTCATCGTTGTAGCTTCCACTTTCAATAGAGTATTGAAGGGGTTATTGATTGGTGTGTTATGAACATTCACATTCAGAGTTTAATTGAATTTGTTTGTTTCTTCTTTCTTCTATTTTGGGCGCAGGACCAACATGCAGCTAATAATGGAAGCCAGCACTATAAAAATGACTTGTAGCAAAATTACAGTCATTAAAATAGACTAATATTTTATTTTAAATACTCTTTCCAACCTTTTTTTTTTAATATGCTTTGTTATTTGTTGAAATTTTCTGTAAATAGCAAAATTTGGTGGGTTTCACAATCTTAATAATCTTATAGTTTTAAAAAAAAATAAAAACCAATAAATTTTTTTTTTTGAAAAGAGTGTGTTCCGAACACTTGTTAAAATAACCCAATATATTCATATTGAGTACAAACTTAAAAATATAAAAATATTAATTTAGGTTTTTCTAGACCTATAATAAAAAGCAGACCCGTTTTTAATTGAAAAATATATTAACGAATTGCTTAAACTTGTACAATTTATTTGTAATTTTATATGTTGATAAATTTATGTATTAAACCAATATGTTTAAATTTAATTAATAAAAAATATTCAAAAAGTGTCTTCCTTTAATAATGAAACCTATTCGATTATATTTTGTGCATGCCACTAAAATTGGTCGTGGGTCCAATCTTTAGTGTACCAAGTTTTCATCATTATTTTTCATTTGATTTATTGATATATATATATATATATACCAAAAATAATGGGAAATAAACAAAAATAATTAAAATAAAATAAAGAATGAGAGAGGAAGAGTGTGAAAATGTGACAATAATAATAATAATAATAATAATAAAAAAAAAGTATTTTGCGAATATTCGAATATTATTATGCTAGATATTTTATTTCATTTGTGTGGTTAAAGTCCAATCATATGTTATTGATTTTGACAAACTTATAAATATTTGAACCATTCTTTTGAAAAAGAAAATGAGACATTCCTTGATAAATAAAATACCTCTATATTCAAAAGAAGAGGTTGCGGATCTCGAATTTATTCTTAACAAAAGTTAATCAGAAAAGTTAACTTAATAAACTGAAAATACCTAACAAATAAAATTTTAAATTAATTAATATAAAACACTAGATAAAAAACGTTTTTAATTAATTTTAAATACGAAATATAAATTCAAATGTTTCAAAAAAATATTATTGAAATATTACAAATTACTGAAAGAAACCCCTTTATTAATAAATAATTTTGCGAAATTAATAATATTTTGAAAGACAGAAAGAACAGAAGATCGATATGTAGCAATCGATTTTGGAGTTTGAAGACAGAAAGCATAAAGAAAGGGGCTGTGAATGTGATGAAGATTCTGTCTAACCAAAGAAAGCTTTCTTATAAATTGTTTTATATAATTTTTATTAAAAGTAAAATTTATAAAAAATATATTTTTTTATAATTTTTAATCTTCACGATTATTTTCTAACTTTTCAGTATTTTGATAAATATATGTGTATTAAATAAAGAATAATCCTAACTTTGATTTAATTTGGTTAATGTTTCAAGTTTTGAATACACGTTTTCATTTAAAAACATAAAAGCTACAACCAAATTATAATCACTTTTAGGAGTGAGTTGTGAGTTCACTTTATTTCCTGGTTGTTTCAAATGTTAGATATAAGAAAATACTTTAATTTTTTGAGATACACTATAAAGTAAAAGTAGCAAAAACTCATTTAATCTTTTCAAATTTAAAAATACAACAAAAAAATTGTCATGAGATATCAAAATTATTTTTCAATTAAAATATGGAGCATTTGACCAATATAATAATTAAATACGAAAGTAATACTAATTGGAAATGATTTTGTTCACAAAGACAAATATTTTACCTCTGTGGCAAAAGTCTTATATATAAACTAACTAGATATACTTTTTCAAAACAATTCAGTTGATTAATTAATTTATATTAAAAAAACAATAATATTTAACTTATATATAATTTTTCATTTAATAAAAAATAAGTTTTAAAAACAATTAACCATGATGATGTCTATTAACTTTTAAATTAATTTGATTAGGAGAAAATATGTTGTGAATATTTAGATATTCTCATTCAATCATAAATTAATAAATTAAGTATACAGTAATCATTTAAAATTTATTAATTAAGAATTGCAATTCATAAAACAGAGAGATACACGTAAAACTTGCCGACAAGTTGATTTAGTCCAACAATGTTCCTCCTCATACAATCTCGTATTTATTTAATCGTAGTTCACATTGCACCGTCATATTAACTTTATTTATCTACAAAATATTAATATATTGTCATACATATCTCTCTCTCTATATATATATTTTTTAACTACATTAATTGAGTTTCTATAACTAAACAATTTTTACATTTCACTTTTAATAATTAAATATTATTTATTTTTATTACGGAAGCACACTATCAGTGACGAACCTCTATATATTATAGTATATATACACCTTGATTTTGTTAAAATTTTACACTAAGTATCTCAATTTTTTTTATCTCCTAATATATTTGAATTTACTAATCTGTTATACAATAAATCTACGTATAATTAAGAGTATATAAATATACAATTTAACTTGAAAAAGTAAATTGTCTCACTAAGATCTTAGATATGTTATTATCTAGTCTTCGTATCCATAATAAAAAAAATACCCATTTTTTTAAATATAATTTTAGAATATTTTTATTAATAATTTTATAATATTTTTTAGTTTATATTTACTTAAATTACAATCTCACAAATGAATAAACGTATTAGTATATAAATTAGATTTTTTTTATTTTAAATAATTTATAATACATAATAAAATAATATTTTTATTCATAAATAATTATTATAAACATATTTCTTTGATAATTAATGTATTTAATTTTATAATTTTCTTATTACTTTTATCAGAAATGATACTTATGCTTGAACTAATTTAAAATGTTTTTATGATAAAATATTAAATAAGATTGAATATCTTGAAATTTACTTATAGTTCAATCAATTGAAGTTATTTTCTTTCTTGTATTTAAAATCTGGATAAGTAGTAGCTACCAGAAAATTGTAAAGATGACAAACTTCTTATGTGATTTATAATTGGATAGTAATATAAAATAATATTACATTAATATTAATGTATGGGTTTTTTTATTCTCTTTTTAATCAAAACGTAATTTTTATCTTTAATATAAGATAGATGATCATGGTATGAAGGTGTCCCTATCGCCCTTCAAATATCAATCGTTATGAAGTATATATTATTGACTTTTTCATATGGGCATGAATAAAAAGGAAAATTTTCTTCCTCTTTTCTTGCTCTATGCCACGGTCCACTTGTGCCTGGTTGTATTGTACTTTTCCCATCACTCAAAGAAGTTTTTAATATTATTTTCTGTGAAGTAAATCATAGTCAAAGGCATGAGTTATGAGAAGTACTACTGTTTCTCTTCTCTTGTCCCTTCCCTTAACGCGTTGATTCTTCATTTCAACACTTGAAAACTCTGAAATTGTTATCTTCACACAAAGTGCTATTGCGCTGGGCCTCTCTCTTCCTCATCCTCATATTTCCACCACTTTGTGGGACAATTTCTTCTACTTCTTCTTCTTCATTCTTTTTTTATTAATTACAGAATTTGTCAGCTTCTAAATCAGTACCTGGTGAGAGAGAGAGAAAGAATATAAATAAGCATATGAGGTGGATCAGCTCATCAAAGGGTCTACAGCTGTCCCAGACAGACATGATGAAATCTTAGTTTACTTTAGTTATCCTTTTGAGCTAAGATCATCCATTTAATGTAAGTGTCAATTTTTGTTTTGTTTAATGATAAGGTTGTTCCTTGTTACTGACACTTTCTCATTATGTGGGGCCACTGCCACATCTTGGCTATGATTCTATGCTTTATTTTTATCCATCCTTGTTTTTAGAATTGCATTCTTTCATGCTAAACCAGTGTGTTTTTATTAGCTTCTGCATTTGGGGTATGGTAAATGATTTGTATTGTTTATTCCAATTTTTTTATTTTTGTTATCAATTATTTGCTTCATTTGTTGGTTGAATTGAATGTGATGATTTTCTTTTAGTATGTAACATCGATGTCCTATGTTTGATGATGCCCTCTCATCATTTACATTTTCATAAATTGCAACGTAAGTCTTCTGCTGAAAATGACGTATGGTTTTATTGGACTTGCCTTTTGGGTTGTTAACGAAATTTCAACTACGGGTGTTTGTGTTTTACACTTTAATTATTTCAGAAACTTGCGACGTGGGGTGAGGACCAGCAGTATAATTTTCCTTCTGCAAGTTGTGGTTGTGGATGTGTTGCTGAGATGTTCACACATTTTCTGTCCTTTTCTGTCTGGTTCCAATAAGGATCTTCCTCCTCATCGCATTAATTTAATCCACTTTTTTCGTATTTTCACCATAGCCTCATATTTAAATATTAAATGCCAATAGGGGCGAAATAAATGTCCGTAACTGATTCCATATGTAAGAGTCTGTCCTTCCAAAGTCCAGCATAACACGCAAGTGTGTTTCTGGGTTCTGTTGTGGTCTTTTGACCAACAATGAAGGCAAAGAGAGGAAAACGCTCTGAGGTAAGGCTTAACATTACCATGCTGTGATACTTGCTTTTTGACCGGTACCTTATAGAATTCCTCATTTCATTTTATTGCAGGCTTTCTGGCCTTCCATTGTGATGAAGAAATGGTTAAACATCAAGCCCAAGGTGAATGATTTTAGTGAAGATGAGGTGGACACTGAAACTGAGAGTGAAGATGATGGTATTCTTTGAATTTTACCTTTTTTTCTTTTTTTTTTTTTCTGTTAGTTTGATAGTTTTCAATTTTTCCCATTTGCTTCTTTCATTTTTCATCCAGCTTGCTCTGTTAGAATCTCAAGAATGCGTGAAGATAAACCCCCCCTTAGAACACAAGGGATTCCATCCATATTCTCAAGTCAAACATCAGGCAATTCTCCGTTCCTTCTCAGCAATCTAGTTCTCTTTTGAAGATGAATGGAAAAACAAGAATGATTCCATTAATTGTGGTTTTAAAATTGTTTGACATTTTCTCTGCTTGTTTTAAAAGAAGAAGACCTTTTGCCATGCTTAATAGAAATTTATAGCAGTAGCTTATTATGCAATTAAGAATCTAAAGTAACATCTTGTCTCAGCTTTCATAACTTTGGTTTTAACTGGAGTCAACCTTGGTCAATGCTACACTTAACTTTTTTTATGGTTTTAAGTCAACCATCTTGGTTAATTTTATGAATTCATGTGATTGATTTTATCACCTGACACCATTAGCCATGATTTGATATTTATAATTCAGATGCATCTAGTAAGGGCCACAAGACAAGACACAGAAGAGGAAAATCAGAAACTCTGCGCGCGCAGTACATAAACACAAAGGAAGTGAGGTGTGAAGCTAACCTGGTTATGCAGCATGATATTTAGAGTTATTAAATTGAACGATATCAATGAAATGTATCTTAAATTTGGTTATTGTTCAGGGTAACAATTGGCACCTGGAATGTTGCTGGAAGACATCCATATGAGGATCTTGAAATTGATGACTGGCTTTGTACTGAAAACCCTGCTGATATTTACATTCTTGGGTGAGAATTCTGAAGTTGCCCATTATTTATTATTTATATTGAGTCTTTGTTTTGTTTACAAATTTGCAGTAAACATCTTCCAATGGTATCTTGTACCTTCTCTGGTTTGTACTTCGATGACAGTTGTGTGCCCTTTTTTACTTCTGACACAATCACAATTTGTGTTTAAGATGCACTAATCTTATTCTTGAAACTTTGTTTTATAACCATGCCGAATGATATCATGTGATTCATGTACCGGATCTCACTTGGTAGAACATGATTTTGTTATTGTTGTTGTACTAATTAACATCTTATCGAGGATTTACATTCATTTTCCAAAATACCTTTTAAATAGTTGTTTTATGTTACATACATTAATAAGATGTGTCTATCCATGGATTGAATTGAAAGTACTTTTAGTACCCACCTCTAGTCACTGTTGTTGTCATTTCCGGTCTTGTACATATCATCTATTGCATGGTTTTCTGATGACAAAAATCTTTGTGGCCTTTCACAGTTTTCAGGAAGTAGTTCCACTGAATGCCGGAAACGTGCTAGGAGCAGAAGATAATACACCTATTCAAAAATGGGAGGCAATCATTAGGAGATCTCTAAACAGATCTTCTGAGCCTGACAGTAAACACAAAAGCTACAGTGCCCCTCCTTCTCCGGTTTTACGAACTTCTTCTGCTGCTGATCTCCTGGCAGACACTATAGATGTTGATAATCCAATTCCAATGGATATGATGATTGAGAAATTTGTAGGAAAAGTTGATAATAAAGAGGTGGAACAGCAAGAAGTGAAGAGCATAATTGATATAGAGAATAACTTACAGTTGAGGAAAATATATGGCATTGATATCGACTGGCCTGAACGTTCATTAGATGCAATCCCCCAAATTGTTGATTCTAACTCAAAGTTGCGGAGAGTACTAAGCAGTTCAGCCAGAATTGGCTTTAACAGGACTGAAAGTACTTTGATATATGGTGTTGGATTGAAACGTTCACACCACAGTTCTGGAAACTTGGGCCTGTTGTGGGAAGAAGAGCAAGTGATACCTGAAGTAGTTGATTCTGTCTCTGATGTGTTATCAGCTGCGGATGATGATACTTTTATTGAAATGCTGAACACCGAAGATGATAATGAACTAGGTACCATGAAATGTTGTGGTAGTCCAAGGTATGTCCGGATTGTGAGCAAGCAAATGGTAGGGATATATGTATCTGTTTGGGTTCAGAGGAGGTTGAGAAGGCACGTTAATAATTTAAAAGTTTCCCCGGTTGGAGTTGGTCTTATGGGCTACATGGGAAACAAGGTAAGACATGTTTCACACTGAATGTGACATCATTATGGCAGACTCATTTTAAAGCATTCCTGGCCATGAGGAGTTGCACTTCAATTGTTACTTACACAGGCTTCATAAACAATAGAGAAATAAGTATAGTTAGTATAGCATTTGACACATGTATTAGCAAAGTTTATTGTGTACTTTTATGATCACTAGCCATCAGTGATTATATTGTACCTACACATTTTGACATGGGTGAATGTGATGACACATTTTCACTGATGCAGGGGTCAGTCTCGATTAGTATGTCTCTCTTTCAGTCACGTCTGTGCTTTGTTTGTTCCCATTTGACTTCTGGTCAGAAGGAAGGAGCTGAACATAGGCGAAACTCTGATGTTCATGAAATTCTGAGACGCACTTGCTTCTCACCTTCCTTTGATGCAGATCAACCACAAACAATCCCATCTCACGAGTAAGCTTTGCTATGCGATGATGAAAGTTTTTTGTCCTTTACAATTTTATCAAAGTTTTCCCTAGAGATACTATGTTCATTGAGTGCTGTTTGTTGCTTACAGCCAGATTTTCTGGTTCGGGGATTTGAATTATCGTATCAATATGTTGGATGCTGAGGTTAGAAAATTGGTGGCTCTAAAGAAGTGGGATGAGTTGATGAATTATGACCAGGTGAGACTTGTCCCTGCAAAATATGCTTGTATTCAGTTTTTACATTAAGTTTTGTTTTAGCTACTTTTTTGGTCCATTATGTTAGCTACTAACTCCCTACACATAATTAATAAAAAGAACATCTTTTTTTTTTTTTCTCATTTGGGTTGTTTATCTAATTCTGTAGCTAAGCAAAGAATTGCGAATTGGGCATGTGTTTGATGGATGGAAAGAGGGGTTGATAAACTTCCCACCCACTTACAAGTATGAAATTAACTCTCATAGATATGTCGGTCAGAACCCAGAAGAAGGGGAAAAAAGGAGATCTCCAGCCTGGTAAGTGCAAGACAGGACCACCAACCTAAGAATATTTTGTTGCTACATCATATATATTATTATAACTATTGAATAGACAAAGCAAGAGGCAATATTTTAATCTGGGGTAAGATTTTGCAGGTGTGATCGTATATTGTGGCTAGGAAAGGGAATAAAACAAATCCAATATTGGCGTGCAGAAATTAAGCTTTCAGATCATAGACCAGTTAGTTCAGCCTTCTTGGTTGAAGTTGAAGTATTTGACCATCGCAAGTTAAAAAGAGCTCTAAATTTCACTAGTGCAGCAGTACACCCAGAGATCTTCCTTGATGAACATGGAGAAATATAATCATATCAGACATTCATTGAATTTAACTTCAATCATATTAAAAACTGGTAAAGATAGTGTTTTACTTTACCTCTTTTCCTTACAACAATCCTATTCATGACATGCTGTGTAGGATATGCTTTTGGATAGATTATATAGAAAAAGACTAATACATGATTGTGCATTTTCAAATATAGGATTTGGTTGACCATAACTCAATCAATTCAAAACAAATTTTGGAGTTTGTGTTTGTATCATGATTTAGCTTGCATGCATGTGTTAACATTGAATTATTCTTCTGCAGGGTGTTAAGGAGCACTTTTGTCAAGGTTAGCTCAGATGAAGCATCTATTGAGATTAACTGAGATATCAAGCATTTTGCCAATCTAAGTTGCGTAGGAAGCCATTGAGATAGTTATGACATGTATATAATCATACAAAAGGATGATTTTGGGAACTTTTTTTTATCCCTCTTAAACAGTCATTATTCGATTTTGGCCTCATCAGTTGTGTATCCCATTTATTTTATATTTTTGGACAACAAACATTCGGTGCTTGATTTTTTAACAGTACGCAATTTGTGTAAGTTAGTATTGATTTGAGCATTGAACTTTGAAATATTCTCATTCAAACTTTTATCGATCTCAATAGAAAATATTTATTTATTATCTTTTATTTAAATTACGTATTAAAAAATATTATATTATTATTTTATTTTAAATAATTATAATTAAAATATTACTAATAATTTATCATATTTTTAATATATATATATATATAATATAATATAAGAAATACACATAAAACCTTAAATTTTTTTATCAGTGACAATAAAACTTTTTTACTATCAATTTCCAAGTTATTTATTATATTATTATATATAAGTGATTAATCAACAAAATATATTTTTTAATTGACTTTTATAACTATGGAAATTTTATAGAAAATAACAAACAAGAAAAAAATAATGTAGAAGTATTTGTAAATTATTATATTTTTATTTAAAAACATCACCCATCAATTTTTAATTGCTAAAGGAATGAGTGGAAGGATTGATGCAAAAATGTGAGTGCTCAGAAATTTGTATTACATATATTTGTATAATAGTTACTTAAAAGTGCCAATAAATTTATCGAATTAGTTTTTTTTTTTAATTTCCATAAAGAAGAAATAGTGAAAGAATTGGAATGTTGGACAAAATATGGCACTAGAAAATTCTTATTAGAAATTTATCTAAAAATAATTTAAGTTAATAATAAATAAAAATTAAAATCTATAAATTTTAAATAAATTAGAGCTCATTACTTCTTATAATTTGTATTGGTTTTATTTTATTTTTTTAATTCAAACCTCATTTTATTTGTTATTTTTCTAATGGATTATGGAAGTTATTTTGAAATTTCTTATTCAACTAAGCAACTTACTTTGATAAAGGAACAGTGAATTATTAAACATGTATTTCTCTTCGATTATATACTTTGCTTACATTAGATATTAACTATTTTATTTACTTAGAATCATATATGATAAATAACAAAGTTACATACTATTTTCAATAACCACGTAATATAAAATGTTCTTTGTATCTTAAATGGTTTACCATAATATTAATAATTTTCACTAAAATGTAATTTGACTCATAATTTTGTAGAGTAGGATTATAGTTAAAATGCATTCTATCATTAAAAAGGTAAAGATATAAAGTACTTGTGATTTCTTTTTTAAGTGCATGAAATCCTTTAAATTTTTGTAAATTCATAAAATCCCTTCAAAATATTATGATTTGATATTTTACAAATTTCTTTAAATTTCAAATTACAAAATCCTAAAACCTTCAACTTATATAAGTCTTTTAAGAAAATGTTTAGAAAATCATTGTACTCTTACAAAATATTTCAAAATTTACATAACTTTTATGTAAAAAAAAAATAAAACCCTAATTGAATACACATCTCTAAATCACTATGTTTAACTTTTTTTTTTCGTTTTTATATATTAACTAACATGTCTCTTAATAGAGTTTTAAAAGTTTCAATATAGTATTTTGTTGTTTTAACTAAAACATTATAGTTTCGTTAGTGTTTTTTCTACATTTTCAAACCAACCTTAGGGTGGATAATTCTCCCAGGACAGCACCTTATGATACCCTGTAACACAGCTTGCAGGATTTCCCTTTTCTTCATTTGATTTTTCACTACCTCAACAGAATTAAAAAAAAAAAAAAAACAATAAACAGAAAGTCACGTTGGTTGTATCAACTCTTGGTGGAACCAAAGCACCTGGGAAAATTCTCCTTCCTAAGGTTGGTTTGAAAATGTTAAAAAAACAATAACAAACGGTGCAAGAAAACATCTTTATGAGAGGCTGCAGTTTACGAACATAGCAGCATAATACTGCACACCAGCACCCCCCTCTCCCTTTTGTCATCAGTTTATTCAATGGAGAGTATGAGGCTATCACTCGTCTTGATTGCTATTATGTTGAATGCTACAACTCTAGGTGGTATGGAACTTCTTTTTCATGACTACTACAAGGAGAAGTGTCCCTTAGCCGAAGACATCGTGAGACATAACGTGGAGGTGGCACTGTTGAAAGATCCTCGTTTGGCAGCCTCTTTACTTCGCTTACACTTCCACGATTGTTTTGTCATGGTAACCATTTTCCTTTTTCTTCTTCCTTTGTTTTGAATTTTTCATTCTTCCAGGCCCGTGAATTTTTTTTTTTCATTCGTTGGATGTTGAATTGAAAAATAAGGGGTGTGATGCATCGGTGCTTTTGGACAGCGTGGAGGGCATGAGAAGTGAGAAACTGGCTGGGCCGAATGTGAACTCTTTACGTGGGTTTGAGGTCATAGACACGATTAAGTATTTGCTGGAAGAGGAATGTCCCGTCACTGTTTCATGTGCTGACATCCTTGCCATGGCTGCACGTGATGCAGTTCAATTGGTACAAATCATTACACATCACATATGTGTTGTTCTTTTTGCCTCACAATAATTTATACTTTGGGTCATGCAGAGAGGAGGACCAAGATGGGAGGTCTTGCTTGGGAGGAAGGATTCTCTGGAATCAAGTTTCACTGCAGCCAACCTTCTCATCCCTGCTCCAAATTCCTCTTTAGAGGTTCTCATAGATAACTTCAAGCAACAAGGCCTTGACATAGAAGACTTGGTAACTCTATCAGGTATATTTATTATTTTGACAACTTATACTTGATTCCTCCCTCGAATACTCTTTGTACTGTTTTCAATCAGGAGTGAAGTTTTACAAATGTAAATTACTAAAGTGAAATGTAATTCTTGTTAGAGAATAAGACAAACAGTAAAAAATAACTAAATTCAAACAATTAAATCAATATTTTGGAGCACTGAAAAAAAGAAGAGATTATACAACTAATCAGGTAGAGTTCCTGCTTAACAAAAAAACAGGTAGCCATACCATAGGAAGAGCAAGGTGTCTAAGCTTCAGGCAGAGGATATATGAATCAAAAGAGGAATATCACTATGGTTTTGATCACTACAAGCGGTACAAAAACTTCAGGAGAATTCTGCGGTCCATTTGCCCTGCTGAAGGAAGGGACAACAAATTTGCACCCCTTGATTTTCAAACCCCCAAAAGATTTGACAATCACTACTTTATAAACATTCTTGCAGGGAATGGCTTGTTAGGTTCTGATAATGTTCTTATCAGCCAGGATTTGGATGGACAGATTACAGAGCATGTATGGGCTTATGCCTCAAACGAAGAACTTTTCTTTGCTTCATTTGCTAAATCTATGATTAAGATGGGAAACATCAATGTACTTACAGGTAATGAAGGAGAAATTAGGAGGAATTGTAGGTTTGTGAATGCTTAGTCGTTATGCATATGCATATGGTTTGCTGTAGACTTATTAACACCCAATCTAATACTAGTTTTCAATTGAGAATAGATTATGAATGAACTTAATCACATGACAAAAGGAGGAAGCGAATGCTTGTATATTTTGCCCATGCAATAGTTTTCCACCCATTAGAAGCTCTAAATTGGCATCAGTATCAGGGTCTCACATGGTTGCTAATACATGGCTTACTCTCTGTTGCATATTTTAGAAGATCAACGTTGCAAGAAGGAAGACATTTTATTTCGCTTCCTCCATTTATCAAAATCATCTAAAACACAAAAATGAATGATGAATTATTATAATAGTTGTACAGTTTTCATCAGACTCAAATATGTTGATGCGGATAAATATAACACAAGAAAAAACTAGAACAAGAAAATAATTAGGAGGGCATCAGTTCTCCAAGGTGATAAAACATCAATGAATTTAATTCAGACGCAAATTACCCATTTGTTATGATGAGATTCATCACATGCCCATTTAAAAAGGGGGAAAATTCGTTCGAAAAATTATTCAAAAATACGAGTAAATAGAAAAGGAATGAAAGAAACGAAAAAACTAAAAAAGTGGCGATGTGCAAAAGTGCACCATCAACGACGAGCCAACCGGAGAATCACCTCCTGCACAGTTACATCTTCGTCACTGTGGATCATTCAGCCCTACCTTTACGTGAATATTTATTGAATCGGATTACATAGATAGACCTTGCGATGTACGAGGATAGAGTTGTTACATTTCATTTATAGATACATATTAGGGTTTCATACTACGAAGTTGATTTTGATTGGGTTTTGGGGCACACCGTTGGTATTCTACAGGCCCATTTCTATTAATCCAATAAACTTAAAGGAACATTGTTTTTAACAATATCTTTGATTGATTTCAGGATAATTGTTGTAATATTAGATGTTGTATAAAAATTAATTTTATACTTTTAGTATATTGGATGTTTTTTAAGAGGTCTAACTCAGTTAATTGAGTAAAATTACAAAAAAAAAAACTGATGATTAATTAATTCTTGACGTTATAAATATTAATGGACTTAATTATTAAAATTAAAATGATAATAAATATCATTTTTAGTCCTCAAAGACAATACTATATCACACGATATTCTTTCACTTTAATTAGGATTTCAAATTTGAAACATAGAACCCAACTAAATTAAATATTAAAAAATACAATTTATTAAAGATAATACTTTTATAAATTGATTGAACAAAATAATTTTAGAGAGTAAATTAACTAATCCTTTTAATTTCAAGAATTAATTTAATGTAAGTTCAACATCTTAAGTATTTTTGTATTATTAATTTTACCACACACGAACTTATGATGTCAACATTTGTTGGGTGAGTTAACAAAACAAATAGCTGATTTCAATCAAAAACAATACTCAAAACAATATTGCATGTTGCAACAAAGTTTTGGAAATTGATGTGTACCTTACATGAGGATTAAAATAAAAAAGTAAAAGGTATATACAGAGTTCTCCTTGAATGACTTAAAAATTTATTAAACTGATTCGTTTTTTACTACAATTACATTTGGAATGTTATTAACCACAGCTACTCTAAATTAAATTTAGAATGTTACAAATTTACAAGTAGTTTTGTATAGTTAAAATTTGGAGTTAAGGTCCGTTTGTGGGACTTCAGATTCGATAATTATTTGACAACCAACGGCTAATGACCACTTTCAGACAGTCCTGCCTTCTCTTGGTTCATATGTTTTTCTCTGTTAGATCTGGGCCATACCATGTCAGATAAAGAACTATCCAAATTATTAGAAAACCTTTAAATCATGATAATTACCAACCAATCCTTTGAGTAGTTTTCTCAGTGCTCATCACCACTGCCTTGGTTCAGTTAATCACTGTCAAGTGCGTGAACTCAATAAAATATGCAAGAACATAGAAGGAAAAGCTGGCTCAAAAGTAAAGCAGACACTAATTGATCAAATTAACAATTCATTATTGAAAAATGCTACTAACAGAACTATCATCATGAATATGCCAAATAATTTCACCAACAGGTTTGCTACTGAAAATAGTATTTATATCTGATACTGGAATGGTGTTTGTAATAATCACCTCATGAAATAAGCTACCAGACAACCCCTCGGTTGCAGGGAAGCTTGATCTGTTCAAAGAAAGCAACACAACCATTTGGTAACAGTTAAAAGCATTTTGTTTTGCCAAAATCATTTCAGATTTTCCATGTTGAAGGTAAACAATACAGTAACTTTCAAATTTTCATGATGCCTCCCAAATTTTGGATGTAAGCTATCAATATGCAGTGAAGGTCATAGACACTTGCATTGTATCGTATATCCATCAAAACACAAAAATAATGATCAGATTACAAAATATAGTTACAAAAACACCAAGATTCCTCTCATTCTTTGTTATACAAATAAGTAAACATATTATACTAAACCAAAAGTGTTGACTGAAGATATCCTTCAACTACTAAGTATAACTAATCAGTTATTGTTAACATGAAACAAGAAACAGCAGCTGCGATTTTATCCACATTGCGAGGTAACTATTGAAAGCATATTAAAAAAGTGGTATCAGCCAATAACCTTGACCTTGCTAAGAGGTAGCAGCCTTTATGGCTTTCTGCAACTCAGATTCTACGTCACTGGCTACACTTTGCGACTTGTTTGGCTGCACTTTTTTCTCATCCTCTTGTCTTCCACTCTTGTAACTTCTTCGACGCTGTAACTCCCCAGAAGAGCTTTCACTCACTTTGTTTGGTTGCGGCACCATTTCTTTTCTGGCGGTGGAAATTCCCATTTTCATCTCATCCAACACACGTTTCATCTCCCTATTTTCCCTCTCCACATTCTCCAAATCTCTACCCATCCAACAACACATTCCCTTTAACAGCTGCAAATCAATTTCAGAACTTTCCCTTTTCTTCCGAGTATTATTGTTATTACTCTCTTTCCCATCATCAACCCTCTCTAACCCTATCTTATTCACCGTTAAGCTCGGCATTTTCGAACCAAAATTCCGGGGAAAATTCACACCCCAGCGGAAGTTCAAGAAGAACCCTTTTGTAACAGGCATAACCGTTCGAGCCATAACCCTAACGGCAGGAGAGAAAACCTGTTTCGAATCGTTCTTAGAGTTTTCCAAAGCGTTATGGTCTAATTGGTCTCTGTTACCGCATGGTTCCAATTTCAGATTCTGCCAACCCGAGGAGGATTCATGGGACACAATTTGAGGTGTGGGAGGGAGAGGAAAAAGGGGTGGTGGGGTGTCGGAGAAAACGGTTTTGTGGAGAGAGAAGTGGCCGAATTGGGGTTTGAATTGGAGAGAGAAAGAAGGAGTTGGGGTTGGGGAGAGGGAGAAGTTGGCGGAGAAGACCAGAGGAGAGTGGAGCGGGGAGCCCAACAGACCCAGGCCCGATTTGAGGGAGAGGGAGAAGGGTTGAGAGGCGGTGGGGGTGTAAGAGACTCTGAGGGATGGGCCTGATGGGAAGTTCGAGGAGAGCGAGAAGGAAAACTCGGAAACGGAGTTCGTGGCGGTGGTGGCGGTAACTCCAGAAAGAAAGGGCTTATTCAGTATAGTAATGGGTACCTTCGCTGTCATGATTTGCGCACTGTGTTGCTCGTGGTTTTCATTCTCACCCTCGAACTTCAGGGACAGCTTCATAGTGAGTGGTGGTGATGCTGCGACGAGAATCAAAAGTGATCAACTTTAACCACCGCGCTATGCGAAAGAAGAAGATGAGGACCAACGGTCTCGTGTTTGGGCCAAACAAGATCATGGGCTCAATATATACACAACCCATTATGTTAACACTCTGGGCTTTCTTTCATCAACAATTTAATTACAATTTTTCTTTTGTAATAATCACTTGAAAAAAAATCTTGTCTGCTATGATCTATCCCGTTCTTTTATTTTATTTTACTTCTAATTCCAACAGTAATTTTAATACGATTTTTGGACATATGATTAAGTAATTGTCGCATTTTAAATCTTAATATAAAATATTAATTTAAATATGAAATAAAATTTAAATCATTAATAAAACATATTTATAATATTCATCATTATACAATTCAAATTTAAATGAGACATAGATATAGACTCGGACATCATTACATAATTTCTTTATTTATGAGGTTCGGGTAATTAATATAATTAGAATATTTCATTAAATCTCAAAATCATATAAGAATACGTTCTCAATAGTTCTTTTATCAAGGAACTTTAAAATCTATAAAAAATTATATCATGCTCCAAAAAAAATCTAATTTACAAATTGAATATAATACTATGTTATTATATTAGTCAAAATTAATATTTACTCAACAAAACCTACTGCAAAAATCTTCTATCTCACGTGCAAACATCACAAATCATCATGCAAAATATTCTAAGAAAAAAAGAAACTTTAAGATAAAAATAATCTACTCCGTTCCATAAACACGTCGGCTTAAATAATAAAACATGAGAGAAAATGAAAAAAATTTAAAAAGAAATCAAAGAAAAAGAACTAGAAGGAGATTTTGTAAGAAATAACGTTGAATTTGTTGAGTATGTTATTTAGAACGGCTTAACAACTTCTTCTCTTCTTCTCTTCACTCACTGGCTGATGTACATGGACCAAGGAACGCCATCTTCATCTTCGTATTGATCTTCTTCATCTTGGTACTGATCACTTCATCTCAATTAACCAGCATGGCAACCATTCGTCTTTCTTCTGCTACTTCCTCTCTCTTCCAATCCGATCTATCTCCCTCAAAACACCGAACCAAACGCATTCAACGGCTCCCAACAACCGCCATGGTAACAAAACACCCCCAAATTAACTCCTCCAATGGCTTCCCCTCCATAGTAAGTTACCTGTTTTGTAATTTCATTTTTTCTTCTCTCTGCAAGAGAATCTCACTTCGCAATCTCTAACCTCTGTTTGTCGCTCAATTCATTGCGTAGGGCAACGCAAACTCTTCGGCTGATGTTCTGGTTAATGATTACGACGTGGGACACGCGGGGGCGAACTCCGAGGCGCTTAAGAAAACTAATATCGTCTGCACGATAGGTCCGTCTACGAGCTCACGTGACATGATATGGAACCTGGCTGAAGCCGGAATGAACGTGGCGCGTTTGAACATGTCGCACGGGGACCACGCGTCTCACCTGCAAACCATTGAGTTGGTGAGAGAGTACAATGCTCAGTTTCAGGATAAGGTTGTAGCCATCATGCTCGACACCAAGGTCAACTCCTTCTTATATAACTTCCGTTTTTTCGTCGTTTTAGCTCAACTTAATTTTGTCTGTTAACACTTTCAACTTCAAATAGCATCAAAGTTAAAACTCACTACCGCTGTTCTTAATTTCGATTTCCACCTTTAAACTTGTATTTCTTGGTTTTGAAGATCGGGTGTGTCATTTGAGTTGTTTCGCAGGGTCCTGAAGTTAGAAGTGGGGATGTACCTAAACCAATTTCACTTAAAAGTGGGCAAGAGTTCTGTTTCACCACTAGGAGAGGGGTCAGCACGGAAGATACGGTTAGCGTGAATTACGATGGTTTTGTGAATGATGTGGAGGTTGGAGATGTGTTACTTGTTGATGGTAAGAAAGATGGTCTCTTACTTGTGAACATTGTTGTTTGTGCCATCCAGATTGATTAGCTGAAGGTTTTGTGATTTATTGTTGTAGTTTATTGCTAAACACGTATGGGCTACCAGAAAGATTTTCCTCCTATTTTAGTAATATATTTTTTATAATCTCGGTATTTTAGAGGAGTTTATTGATTATCTGTATAGAAGATTTTAATCCGGTAGTTGTTATTTTAGGAGGAATGATGTCTCTTGTTGTTAAGTCAAAGACAAAAGACTTGGTTAAATGTGAAGTTATTGATGGTGGTGAACTGAAATCTAGGCGCCATTTAAACGTCCGTGGAAAAAGTGCAACACTTCCTTCCATAACTGGTATAGTTCTGTTCTATTTGTTTTTGACACATTGCTTGGGCAATAAGTTTCAGTGATTCACTTGTAGCTTGGATAATTTTAGAATGCAAATGCCCTTGACAATTTTATGCCCTGTTGCCTTATGTTTCAACTTCACAGACAAAGACTGGGAAGATATCAAGTTTGGAGTGGACAATCAAGTAGACTTCTATGCTGTCTCATTTGTCAAGGATGCTAGAGTGGTGCACAAGTTAAAAGAGTATCTCAAAAGTAATCTTTTAGCTGTCTAATTTGCTTTTTATGCTTTTGTATCTAGGTGTGTGCATGTGTGAAGTTTCTTCTTTCTTGGCGTATTATTGCTTCTCTAATGGGAACCTATGATCATGTGCAATCATGTATTATTAGATATAAGCGTAGTAATAACTATTGTTGGAAAGTCACCCGCCTGAATTGTGATCACCTTTTCCACCTTAGTTGTGGCTTTTTTGGGAGTTGCCTTAGTTGTAGTCTGGGTGGTGTTTAGTACCTTTTCGACTACACATATGACTTAAATAAAGTTTATAAAGCTTGGTAGGACGTGTTGTTTGGTGGGATTTATAAGTGTTTGGTTCTTCTCCCTTAAGAAGTGTTTGAGTACTAACTATGTGTATACCGACACAAGATTCTAACCAATGAGAAGGTTGCGTGAAATATTATAGGGTGTCTAATGCCTTATAAGCTGTGGTTTGAGATAGGTCCTAACTTTAACATTAGACTTATATTTAATATTTGATAATACATGACAGTGATATGGGTTCTCATCATTCTCATTATCAACTAAATTATTGTAAACCTTTTTCTATAGGTCATAATGCTGATATACACGTGATTGTAAAAATTGAAAGTGCAGATTCCATACCAAATCTTCATTCGATACTTTCTGCTTCAGATGGGGTTAGTTTCATTATGATCAGATCACGTGTTGTGGATATTTCATATCTTCAATAACTTTCAATTAAAAAGGATTGAAATTTAGATTACGTTGGAGATCAATACATGTTTTTATTTATTTATTTGTTTTGGTCTAGTTAGTATTCAACATATGAGAACCGGAATTGCTTACACACCAGGAATGGACAAATACTTCCAATAGTAGTTCTATACTTCTGATCCTTATGCTTAATGTGAAAATGGTACCTGAAGAAAGAAACTGAAAAAATGAAACATTTCAAGTTAATTTCATCGCTAATTCTGAGAGGACTTGAAAATTTTAGTAATCCTTGTATAATAAGTAATGGATTTATTTATTTTTTGTTTGGAGTAAGTTGATTAGGTTGTCAATTGTATTCTTCAAAATCTCAACAAGATGCGTGTCTCATATTCTATGTAGGATATAAAAGTAATCTAATTGCATCTTGAGCTGATGATGGATTGATTAGAAGTTACTTTAGTTTCCCCTTTCTTAGTATTGAGCACACATGATATCTATTCTGCAACATATGACGGTGCAATCATGTCATAGTGATTATCTGATAATAGGATATACAATGCTTGCACAATTCTAGGAGAAAAGATGGTTTTGTGATGCTTGTTTGTTTCTGCATTATTGGTTGATAATTTTTTTTTACATGTCAAAAATAAGGATTACTAGGTTAGTAAAGATTGTTCTATTAAGTTTACGAAAGCATACTGATGATTCTCTTCTTTAATGTTCATAATTAACATTACAAATACCTAAGACAATAGCATTTTCAAAGAATATATTTATAGTAAATACCTTTAGACTTTAAAAACAATAGAAATGAATTTATTTGACAAATGCCTAATCAAGAAATCCTACTCCACATCTTTTAATAATTTATGGTGAAAATCTTAACTTAGAACTGAGTTTACCATTACTCTGAACTGGTCCAAACCTGCTGTAGATTTCTCAACACCCTCCAGTCTATATTTTGGAGAAAGTTTTTTTAATGTTATTCAATATCATGGATCAAATCAAGATCATTATTTACATATAGCATCCAGTTTCATTTTGAGAGTTAATTTTGCAGGCCATGGTTGCTCGAGGGGATCTTGGAGCTGAACTTCCAATAGAAGAAGTTCCTTTATTGCAGGTAATATGATGCTCCGAGTAACATGAGATGTGTGTCACTTTGTTCACAATTGGTAAGATGTATGCAATATCTGTCATCAGATGATATATTTTGACAATCATTGATTTGGTACATCAGATGATCATACTGATAATCATGCGCATTAATTTTATGGAAAGCCCATATTTTGCTGCTTGTACAATGAACTCTCAAAGAGGTTCTTTCTCAACTGTAATCTTACCTTTTTGAAAAGGATGTTATAGAGCCTGTTAAGTTCAATTCAAACATGGATCCATGTTCATCTATATTGTGTCTTTTTAAATTTCAAAACCAAAATTTTGTTTATAAAGGAGCTCATTAGATGTCAAAGGATATCATATCCAGCATTTGATATGAAGAACCTATGTAGACATATCAAGCTGTAAAAGTTGTATTAAGGAAATTGATCAAATTTCCAAACATTAATGAAAGTAAGTAGAAAGCCAAGAGGTGTTTGTTTCTTGACCCTTGGAGAATCTACTACCACAAGGAGAGTTAGTGCAATTCATGATGCATTTATGAATTTATTTCTATATAAAGGGATCATATATAGAGAAAAGATACGCCATATCTAAAGAGAGGGGATAACCACCCTAAGTGAGAGAGGGTGTTTCTCAAGTTTGTCCAGAAAACTAATAATGTGTTGGGATGAATGAAATATTTTTGAGACAAGTATGTGGACATAAGCAAGAGGTGTTTAACCACGTAAATTCATGTATTTCATTATTTTTCATTTGTAGTGTTGTTTTGTGGGTATCTCATACCTTTGATCCTTATTATCTGTGAAGGGAGATTTTTCCCAACAAATTGTTGCATCACTTGAGAACAAAAACAAAAGTCTTTCTTACTAGATAACTTCAACTACATGAATGACATGTCATCATTGGACTCGGTTAAAGACCAAATCCTTTGAAATATTATTCACCACGAGATATTTCTTAAGAAATTCCTCCGATATCTTTGGTCTCCCTCTCCCTTTTTTCATAGGACTTAAAGTCATGTCATCTACTCTCCTCACTGGTTCTTCCAGTGACCTTTATTTATACATGTCTAAACCACCTTAATTGATTTTTTGTGTTTTTTCATCAATTGGTGTCACACCAATATCTCCTCGTATACAATCATTTCATATATTATCCTTTCTAGTGTATGTATATCTTAACATTCTCATTTATGCTACAATGCTACTCTCACTTTTTCCTTTGTTGTTCCTTTAAATCCTTACACTTATTACCATAGATTATAGTCAGACGTCTAGCAATACGATAAACTTATCCTTTGTGCTTGCAGATCCTTTGCAATTCAAACAACCCTCAATCAATGCCTTTCTCCATTTTGATTATCTTAGTTGTATCTTATGTATGATCTCATTAATTTCTCCGCCATTTTTGTAAAATTGATTCCAAATATTTAAACTTATAAACCTGTAGTATGATATCTTATCTCATCTTTACGTCCAAGTCATTTTTCTCTAGTTGCTTGCTATGTCTTGCTCCTACTTAAGCTAAAAACTGCCTAAAACTGCTGGTGCCTACACTGCAAGCTGCAACAAGTACACTGCAAGTCGGAGACCAACACTGCAAAGCTTACTGTGACCACATTTTTGTGAGACAAATTGCAATATAAAAGGGTGGTTCCATTAGTTGAGATTAGGGAAAAGGAGATAATGTTCTGCTGCAAGCTTCTGGAAGCATTTAATGCTCTTCCTTTGGCAGTAAGATTTTTCATTTTAATACTTTTATATTTATTTATTTTACCTATAAAAGAAAGTGCTTATACGTACGTGCCAATTGCATATATTGGAATTCAAGTATAAGCTAGAGTTATTTTGAATAACTTACAAATAGAAAAGACAAAAAACCTATTACCTTTTGGGTTAAAGTTGGAGTCATATTTTTTTATATGGTTACTTTAATATTCCATAAGTGAAGTGGTAACTCTCTCACAAAAACCAATCAGAGTCAAACACAAAATCTCTTTCTTTCCTCCGATGCTTCCTTCTGCAGGGAGAGTAAAAGAGCTTGAAGATCATATTGTTATTATGTCCCAATTATATCAACTCCTGTTACAATTTACACAAACTAGATTATGACATATACTGGTCTCAAACTGATGTTTTTGTTCTCTGCTTTAATAGTTTTCTTTTACCATGCTTAATCATGTGCTGTATGTAGTTCATTCCCTTTTTTAATCAAGCAGGATGACATCATAAGGAGATGTCAAAGCATGAAAAAGCCAGTTATTGTGGCAACAAATATGCTTGAAAGCATGATTAATCATCCCACACCAACAAGGGCAGAAGTCTCGGACATTGCAATTGCAGTAAGACAAGGTGCTGATGCTATCATGCTTTCAGGAGAAACTGCACATGGAAAGTGAGTTTACTGTTCCTTGGTGACCTTGTTTCCTTTTTGCTTAAGCTGTTCAAACTATTTTTCAATATTCATATTTTTTTATTATTTAATAGTTTGCAATATTGAAATATTTTCAGCTGTTTATGATTGGTAGGCTTATCTTTTTCATTCTTTTGTCGTGCAAGGTTTTCAGGAAGGTAAGCATCATTCATTATAGAAAGATGTTTCTATCCCTAAATTGACTATAAATCCGATAATTCTTTCAATAGAATTTATAACAACAAATTATCTGTGATAATATATTTATTATATTTGTTATTGCTATTGATTAAATTAGGAGATTTATTGTTAATGTACATATGACACACAATTTAACTATATTTTAGTATGAAAATCAAAATGATAGTTTACAATTAAATGATATTAATATGAAAACTCTCCAACTAAAGAACCCATTATTTTTGGCCTATTATATTAAGTTTAACATTTTTAACCTTTTGTATGTGTGGATTATTGTAATTGCTATAGAACTGCTTTTCAGTTGAAACTGTATTTAATTCCTTTTTTTTAACTTTGTTACAAAAGAATGTTTAGCCTGATATGTCTTGTGTTGATGGTTTATGCTTTTAATATAACCTTTTTCAATATTTTCAATGAATAAATTTAACTTAAGAGGATTGCAACTGCTTCAGATTTCCATTGAAAGCTGTTAAAGTTATGCACGCTGTGGCTCTTAGGAATGAATCTAGAGCTAAAAATGCTGTTGCTTGTCCAAGTCGATTGAGTTCTCATAAAGTAAGTGCTCGATTAAAAATTAGGCACTTTTGGAGTTTTGTTGATGTAAAGGGTTTATTATTGCTATATTTTATTGATAATTGATGATATATTAAAATCTAATTAATTTGTGTTTACTTGTTGACAGAGCCACATGGGAGAAATGTTTGCTTTCCATGCGACAACCATGTCTAACACTCTTAATACCCCCATTATTGTTTTCACCAGAACAGGATCCATGGCTATTCTTTTGAGCCATTATAGGCCTTACTCAACAATCTTTGCATTCACAAATGAGTAAGCATTAGCAGGATATATATATCCCTTACTAATTTTTCAGGAGGAATAATACTTGTTTAGGTTTGGAACATAAATAGCTAATTTCCTTGGCCGAGCATTGTATAATACTATCTTGAGAAGCTTCTCTCTCCAACTCAAGTGTTTTACAGATGCCCAATTAATTAAATTTACCGCGTGGTATGTTTTGTGTGGGAACTAAGGATAATTATTTGGACATATACTTTTTCTCTTATCAAAATTAATCGTCTATAATATTTTTTCTTTATCACATTTGATCATTCTGATTCAGTTCTTCCAGGAATCCTGCTAGATACCATTTTTCTAAATTGATATATGTAGGGGGCTATTTTACTCCGACATACCACTCCACCCTTAAAAATAAAGCTAGGAATCTGAAGGTCAACATAGGCAGTGATTTTTCTTTTCTTTTTTGGCTTTCTAATTTTTGGAGGGTGGTATAGGTGTTTAAGTTAATATTCTGTCGCACCCAATTTATGATTTCAATTATTGGCAGAACAAGGATTAAGCAGAGGTTGGCGCTTTATCATGGCGTTATGCCCATATACATGCCTTTTTCAAATGATGCAGAGGAGACCTTCTCTAGGGCCATCAAACTATTATTGGTTAGTAATATCTCTATCACGTGCACAAATATATTATTTTTATATTGAAAGTGTCTGAAAAGTCTCCATATTTCAGAGTGAGGGCCATTTACACGAGGGGGAGCATGTTACTCTTGTTCAAAGTGGAGCACAACCAATCTGGCGTGAGGAATCCACTCACCACATACAAGTTCGTAAGGTTCATGAATAAAATTCTATGAGGGGTCTTTGGTCCTCATAAATGTATAGATTTTATTTTATTCCTCACTCTCTTGTAACTACTGATTCTTACTTTCAATCATAGTTATGGCTATATGAACTTGAAACACCAAAGTTGAATAGTAAAGGAATTTCAAAATGGAAACATTTATTGATGAGCAATTTCCGTAGCCTCCATGAAGTTCTTTTATATCTAACTATCCTTTTTTTAACATGTCATTTTGATATTTTTATCTTGGCTGAAAGAAATTGCATTGACCTTTCGCTGTTTGCGTAACCATGGTGGGATATGTTTATTTGATTTGATATAATAAATGGGCATAATATAATGGCTCTCGGGTCACAAGGGTAAGACTGTCTACTTCTGTTTGTCTAACCCTTTTTATCGCTGGGACTTGGGAGCTCGTGTACTGAGTCACCCTTATAATTTATTTATATATGTTTAATTTGTTTCAACCTTTTTACCTTTCAACTTGGGAGCTCGCTGTGGAGTATTGCCCGTTAATTCCTCTGATTGCTACAATCTTCCGAAAATATACAGAATTGTTTGCTTGTCCACATGACATTGCTGTAGGAATGACATTTGGTCTGCCACTGCCAGTTCAGAATTTCTATGGTTGATTGATTTAACCAGCTAAAATCTAAATATATTAGAAAGTATTATGTAAAATTTTCTCTTTCTGTCTTTCGAAATTATTGCCTTAACAGGTGATTGCGCTGTTTGTTCATGAGAATACCATATATTAAGGACAAAAATTCCTTCGTTAGCTCTGGGATGGGAAGTGAAGCCAAATTCTGTAAATAGGCATTTGGCAATCCACATAGCAGATTTAATTTCATCTTTAAAATGGAACTTACAAATGAGAAAGAAAGGAGGTTTCTAGGGACCCTAAAACAGTCATTGTCTCATCAAACTTAGTTTTACACTACTTGGCCTCAAGAATATATTTAAACCTTAAAAACAAGGAGTCAAGTTGTGCTAGAGTCAGAAACTCGTGTAAGAAGGGCTTCTATTTCTGCAAATCTGCAAACTATATCTTCCACCAGCAACTATAAAAGCAAGATTATTTGACTTGTTGCTCCTTTCTTTCTCTTATTAATATATGTTGTAACCAGTGCCTTTGAATGTTGCAAATTATACTTTTGACTCATCATTCTCTTCACTTTTCCCCTCTAGCTGTATACACTTGTACCATTTTGCACATGCAATATAGGCAATCATGTCTACCGATGTCAAGGCAGCTAAGAGGAAGTAAAACCTATCCAAGTGACCTTTATTGAGGTTTCCAGGGATCCACCCCGGCATGTGATCTTCGGTGGATATCTTCATAACCATACTTACAAGTAAGCTACTCACATAGTTCCCAAGAGAAATGGATGTCATGCAAAGTGCACTTCCGAAGCTCTTCAAGCCATCTGGTGTCTGAGCGTTAAAGAACTCCAATTGACCTACGTACATAAAAACCTCGGAAGCACCTATAAATGCGTACTGAGGGATTTGCCAGAAGATGCTTAAAGTGCTCGTATCATTGCAGTGGATGCATTCATGTTTTGCATACTTAAGCCTATAGCATTCAACTAATCCAGCCGAAACCATTGCCAGTACTGCTATAACAAGTCCAACTCCCATTCTCTGAAGCTCTGTAAGTCCCTTAGAATCTGTCTTTTTAAGTTTTCCCACAAACGGATCAAGAACTCGACGGTAAAAGAAAATGAAAACAGCCACACTGAGGATATCAAAGCTGGACATGCTAGCTGGTGGTATTCTGAAATTGGAGACCGTGGTTTTCATGGCAGCGCCTTGCTCCACAAAAAGTGAAGCCATTTGTGTGAAAACCACCGAGTATATTATGGTGCAGAGCCAAATTGGCAGAAGTCTCAGTATGCACTTCACCTCTTCAACTTGACTTACAGGGCAGAGATGCCAGGGGTTGTAACCGGTCCCTTTCTGGTCTTCTAGATCTCTTGAAGATATAAATGCTGCCCTATCCAAGAACCTGCAATACAGTAATAATTGGAAAATTGATCAAATAAAATAAAATACAGGAAAATCATTCTGTGCAGTCTCAGCTACTCATGAATACATCCATTACGTGTTTTCAGCTGAAAGAAACCTCCAATTATGTGGTTTCTGCTTAAAGAAGCCTCCACTACTTACTTGAACCCCTGAGTGTGGAGGATCTTTCTGTTGGCATTGGTTGAAGACTCCTTTGCGTCCATTTGAAATAAGTCCTCTCCGTTGGATGACATTTGAACTTTGGATTTCCTTGATGCAGCCACAAGGACTTGGCTGAACCTGGAGAGAGGGTTGCCACTGGGCTTGAAGTGTCTGTACCTCCGGGTGCCTGCTAGAAACAAGACCAGAGCAGCAAAGGCAGAACCTGCAGACAGCCAGAAACCAAGAGCCCACATTCCTTCATCCTCGAAATAGACCAGAATGGTGTTTGAGAAGAGTTGACCAAAGTTAAAAGCTAGGTAGAAGTAGCTAAAGAAGGCCACCTTGGAGTGACCCTCCTTTGAGTGCTCCTCGTCAAACTGATCAGCCCCAAATGTGGCAATATTTGGTTGATAACCTCCATTACCCAAGGCAACGAGATAGATTGACAGGTAGAACATCCCCATCTCCAATCTTGAATGTTTTCCACAATTAATTGTTTCATTCCCACAACCTTTAGGCTTGAGTAAGAACAGGTATGATGACAGGGATAAGGACATTAGACCCTGTTATGTCAAGCCAGATTCGTTGTTAGTCAAGTAGTTAATGTAACAGCTAGGAATTTAAAGAGAAAGATTATGAATGAGAGGAGAGAAAATGGTGGCATTACTTACTATAACAAAAATGACCTGAAAGACAGCACAAGTTTTATATCTTCCCCAATAAGAATCACTGAGGAAAGCACCGACAAGAGAGAAGATGTAAACTGTTCCTGTCCACTTGCTCACATTGTTAGCTGCATCAGCATTATTTTGTCCTACCACCCTTGTCAGAAACAGCACTAGGTTCACTCCCATCCCAAAGAATGCAAGGGTTGCTAGAGCTTGGTTCACTGATTAATGCGATCAACAAGTTACAGGATAACAAGCATTAGCACCATGTTCTCAATATTGTGAACCACAGTGAATAACACACACTCGCACATGTATCATTGATTATTGTGCATTTATATACATGCAGGCATTACGCATTGATGAGTATCTGTTTCCTTATCCAAGGTTCAGTGTGAAAGACTTTTTCCACGATAGAAAATTCATTCAAGATCATGGTATACCTTCTTCGGGTGGTGAAATAAAAGATGCAAAGGATTGTTCTTCAAAAAGAAAATCATAATCACATTAGTTATTCAATATAACCATAATAGTCTTTCCTACTATGGACCAAAATTCTTTGCATTTGACCTGCAAAACTGTAATCACACCTCATTTAAATTATATTTTCTTTTGTTATTTAATATATAAAAATCATCAATGATTAAGATTTCATGCAGTCATATAATCCACAAGCTACTGCTGTATCATGAAGGATATTCGATATTGTCACTTAAAAAATACAACATAACACTTTCAAGGGCTTGAGATTATTGTGTCCTTTGTATCCATTCTAAGAAAAAAAAGTTTTCACACTCTAAAAGGTTATACACTCTTGAAAGAGAAGACAATAAAAAAAAAAAGTAAAGTAATTAATAAAATTATAAAAATTAAGATATGAAAAATAGAATTAAACATATGCATACACAAACTTTGGTGTATACTTCTAGTTTTCCAATTAAAAGTATATTTAAATAGCTGCTTTAGTATTTTATATTAAAAGATAATAAAGTCTGAAAAATTATTTCACACTAAAAATGAATCTTATTTTAACAAGTTTATTTATGGTATAGTGTTAGGTATGTCTAGAATTTTCTTTATAAAGCACGCGATCCAATTAGTATTGGTTTCTTTTATCAAAAATAAAATAGTATTGGTTTAACAGGTGAGATAACACTTTGAAAGACTGAACTTACAATAGAAAATAATTTTAAAAAATTAAACTGTTATTTAACTCCTCTCTTTTCTAAAGGGAACATAGTGATTTTCATGATTCCTTTTTTTAAATTTCGGTCGTGTAATCGTGTTGGAGGAAAAAGACACTTTGCTGTTTTGCATGATATTTTTAATTGTTTCAGTATTCCAAATTTCAATTTTTGAATGTGACACCATCTATAAGACTATAAATTTATTTACAACACGTCTTTGCACAAATGCATATAAATCTTAGTAATAAACACTTGCTTTAAACACCTGTACCCACCCAAAGAAACATATATTATTTTAATTATTTGAATATATTTCAAATTAAAAATATATATACCTATAAATATTATATTTGCATAAGAACTAATTATTTTAATCGAACTTTACACCTATAGAAAAAGGATCTTTATTATTTTGTCCTGTCTCTTTATATATGGATTAATTTGACAATTCATAACTATACGTGAAGAATAAAAGAAAAGTAAAATTGAACCAACATTTTTCATCGTTTTTAGTCCTTTTATATCCACACACAAACAACTACTTCCATTCGTAGAGTTTCAATAAAAAGTATTATTTAATTAATCATCCACTTTACAAACTCATAATACCATACCACAATTTAAGATTATAAAAATTATTATTTACAAAACCTCACGATTTTCTTACGTTTATTTAATATTTATAGTAAATCTAAATACACTCACACAAAGAGAACTAAGGAGAAAGACTCTTTCTTAATTTCTGAAAAAATGTATATAAAAAACCATCCAAACTAATCACATTTCTATATTCTAAATAATTCGTTCACATAGGAAACAGTTGGACTATTGAATTGAAATTCTCTTTTCATGATGACTATGACCACCCCTTAAAAAGAAATGAATAAGGTATTTTTATTTTGGCACAAACATTTATAGAAATCATTTTCCCACATATGTATTACACATGCAAGCATATAACAAGTTCACGTTCTTTAACACAGCACTTCACAGAACTTAAAAAATAACCTAATAAGAGAGGTTCTAAATAATTATATGATTGTGACCTATATCAGTTTTCTTGAATCAGAATGAACTACAGGGACGTGCATTTATCAACTCACCAGAAACAGCTGGTTTCTTAGTCATCATCATTCTTTTCTTTTCTTTTCTATGCAGTGAGTAGTGATGAGCAAATATTAATTTACATGCATATGTATGTGTCTATTTGACACATGACAACAAACTACACCATGCAAATTTCAAGGACGTCATAACCTAGTTTCTCTCAAATGCATGCTTTTTTTTTTTTCACTTAAATTTATCTCTTTTTTCATGTTATTGGTTATGGCCTCTTCTCTTTTCTAAAGAAGAGCAGAGCCAAAAACTTCATTCAGAAATCTCCATCCTCTGTTGTAAACACAGTTGTTTTTCATCAATAATAAACACAAGCACATGCTAAGTTAATAACTGTACTAAAAACTCCACAAATTTTCAAAAACATCACATATATAGTTCCTCTTTGAACAATCAACCTTCATCTTTAATATTTAGAAATGTTCTTATAGGTTTAAAATATATCTAAATTAAGGTAATTAATTAATTAATTTAATTTTGTTATCTATCTCTTCTCTAAGGATATTTTTGCATGGTGGAAGAAGAAGTAGTTACAGACCAACCAGCCAGCCAAGACATAGCTGTAAGTGTCTGCCAAACACACACACTTCACAAGAAAAGAAATGCAACAAAACTGACTGAAATATTTGGTTTGGATTTTGTAAACTGAATGAAACATGTTCCTGCATTTAAGTGTTGTCTTTTCCTTCTTTTCCAATAAAAAAGAACACTAACAAGCTTGGTTGCTTGTATATATCACCACAAAAGTAATCACTTTTTACTCCTTTATATGATAAGTTTTATATATATATGTATATATATTGTCATTTTCAATTTTCATATAACCTGGTGCATACAACAGGCAATTTCTTTGTCAAAAAGACTAAAAGGTACTGGTTATATGATGTATCATATATGCATTACCAGTTATCAAGTTCCAAAAGTAATAAAAATATGTTAAAAAAAGTTTTGTAAAGTTAAAGATTTTGAAGTTAGCTTACATAGTATAATAATTCCAGCAATCCATCTTCCAGATTTGGCTCTGTTTGCAGGGCAACCATGCAAATCAACACTTCCATCAAGAGTAATCTCTTCTGATATTTCTGCAGACTTGTTCTGTCTATAATTCTGAACACAAAACATGTGTATAAGACTGAATAATACATGTGGTGCTAATTTTGTATATATGAACACTGACACAGTTACAGACCAGAAGAAACACTTTCAAAAATTTTAAATTTTATACGAAACATACAACATATAATGTATACGCAACACTGACCTTTTTCAAAACCTCAGATTCTAAGGTAGACATGAGTGATATCAAAAGAAGAAAAAAAATGCAGGGTAGATTACTCAAGCAGAGGAAGATGGTTGCAGATTGAGCTGAAGAAGAAGAGAGAAAAGAATGTTACACAAAAAAGAAGAGGAAAGAGTTCAATATATATAGATTAATGGAAGTTGGCGTGAACGGTGGAGTTATCAAGAAGCAAGAAGTGGGGTATCCACATGCTATAAACATACAAAAAAACTATGTATGACATGCACTTTTATGAAAGAGAAATTTTATATATATATTCTAAGCTTAATAACAACGATGATACAAGTGTAAAAATAGTTTTATTATGTTGTCTAGTTCCTAATAAAAATAAGTTTCTAAAAGAAATTATTACAAAACTAACAAAATTTATAATATATAATAATAATTTATGCTTCGATACGTAAGATATTTTTTCACAATTAGTGGATAGATTGTTTTCTCTTACAACAGCAACAAAAATTAAGAAGAGAACACAAAATTATAAACTAAACATTATAGGGCAATAGTACATAATTCTTTACAAAAAGATTGCAATTATTGAAAATAGTTAATAGTTTTTTTTTTTTTTTGAAAATGCAAAATTAGTTAACTGAGTAATATTCTTTAAAATATATACATCATTCAATAGTTTTGTTGAATTTATTTTCAATAATTTTCTTAGAGATCATAACAAAAAAATTACAATTTTTTTAAGGTATTGAATACTTTCTTAAATTAGTAATTTAAAAGATCAGTAATTAACAGATTTTGTTATCAGGCTTTAAAATTTTAACTTTTTGAATAATTATTCTTTGTGATAAGGATATACTATTTAGAAAAAAAGTATATAATTATTCTATAATATTATTAACAGTGTTTATATGAAATTTAATTTCGAAACATGAAGAAAAAAAAACTAACCTAGAAATGAAATAGAACAATTCAGTTTGGTCTTCACAGTTTTCAACTCCACTTCTTCAGATGCATTCCAAATAGACACGCATACATTTCGCTTTTCCAATAACTGTTAAATAAAATAATAAATCATTATTTTGGTTTATAAAAGTATTATATAAATTTTTATATTCACATAAATTCTACCAAATCTAAAGAAGTGTTTAATACATAATAATGATATTTTATTATTAAATATTTATTTTACGAAATAAGGCATATATAGATACATAATTCTATCAAAAGTTTAATTAAAACACAAAGAAAAATATTAAAAAATTAAAAAAAAAACAATTTCATTAATTTTCTATTCTTATTTTTAAAAATTTGAAATTATTTTCAACTATTGTCTTGACAATTCTACTTTATTGGAGAGCAAATAGTTTTAGTTTAAATAAGTATATATATTAAAAGTGATTTCATTCATTGAATAATGGGTTGATTTTGTTTGAAGGAATAATAATCTATCAAAGAATATGTGAAATTGATGAGAAAAAGATTTGACATAGTCTTATTAATTCTAAGAATATATTTAGAAAACGTGAATTTCATCTTATATATACACTAATTTTGCTTAAAAGGAACTAACAGAAGAATAATGAATGCAATTCCTCGGAACAAACATGATCACATTCTTTGTGTTGTGTTTGCTTCTAGAACTTTGAACTTTGTCCCAGTTATTACCTGATAAAGGGATAAGGTTCCATTACTCATTAAAAATTCGAATGTTATTCTTTTCATAATGGAAACTACTCATGTTCAAAACTTTCTCTCTCAAAATATATTATGGTAGAAAAATGTGTTTCTAGATATATGATGGTAAAATTTAAAATTTTATTAATTATATTTATTACAAAGTGAAAAAATAATAAATTATAGTTAAAAGTAGTTTAGTTAGAAAAATATTAAAATAATAAAAATTAAAAGTTTTATTAAAAATAATAAAATTAATATTTGTTTTCATGTGTGTAACCTAACTTTAAATCTAACATATTTTGAAACGAGAGTTATTTTTTAAGAGACATATTTAACCTCTTTTATTTAAGTGATTGTCAATGTTAATAATTTATGAGCTAATAATTAATAAATTTATTGTCTTTGTATGTTATCTAAAGTTCTTAAGACAGATTCTAATGGCCCATTAAAAATAAATAAAGAATTTATTAGTTTTTTATGGACATGTTTAAATTATTTCTTTCATAATTCTTTTTAAATAGATGCTTATATATTAAAAATTAAAATTAATTTATGTATAGAATAAAAATAATTTTTAAATATATTATATGATTTTCTATAAAATAATTTATATATCATCTAATTTTTAGTTTTATTTTACTTTTCTATACTAAAAAAACTGATACTATTCAAAAATATCTTGTTAACCATAATAATAGTAGAATAAAATTACCAAAAACAAACAAAATTGTCATTTAAAGTAATCAACTTGTATAAAATATTAGCATTGGACAAATGTGAATAACAGGAAACCATAGAAAAAAATTATATAAAATTTAAAGGTTTGTTTATTTTTTATTGTTTTAAAAAAAAAATTTGCTATTTTAAAATAATATTTATTTTTCACTTTTAAAAATTAAAAATGATAAAAAATTAAAATTAACATAATTTTTTATTAATATAATATTTATGTTTTCATCAATAATTATATTCATCATCCGAATTTATTATTATAAAATTATGAAAATTATTTCTCAGTTTTTACTGTAATTTTAATATAAATAAATGTTGATTTGTATTTTCTTTTGTCTAAAATTATTTTAAAATTAAAGTTATTAAGTAAGTATTTTTAATTATTTTAAAAAATATTTTTAAAATTTAATATCTAAAATTATTTTTAAAAACTACATAATAAACTAAATCGAATAAAAAATATTTGTGAAGATGGTTTATTAGTTACTATAGTGAAACATAGACACTCGTGTATGTGTGTCTCCATTTTTTTTATAACATCCTATTTTTATAATATAAAATAATTTCTTCTAGGAGAAAAAAAATGATGATGTTAAGGATAAATAAATAATATTTTTTATTATTTTTATTTATTAATTATATTTGAGAGAGTAAAATAAATATAAATAAATGTGGAATGAAATTTCAATAGAAGAATGAGAAATGAAAGAAAATGTGACTGAAGATATTTGAAAAAAAATGAGAATTTGTATTATGTTCCTCTATTAATTTATTTTAAAAAATATATAAACATAAAATAAGAAAAAAGACATATAAATTTAAGATAAATAATATACAAAGCGATAATATCAAATAAGAATAGTGACCCGTACGAGTAAAAGTATTAAAATGGTGTAATTTTAATTTTAAATTATTAATTTGAACTAATTTTTTAAAAATTAGATAAATAGATAAGATGTGTTTGATAGTACTATTTTAGTAGTTTTATCGAATATAATTTTAATTATAATTTTTTTAAACAACAAGAAAGATAAAAAAAATATTGTATTATCAAACACAATTTACCCTTCGTAATTTTTTAAAAATTATTCAAATTGATAATTTAGATTTAAAATTACATCATTTTAATACTTTTATCTTTATATTATTACTTTTTTTCTAGTTAATCGCATGGTTATTAAAATAAATTATATTAAAAATATAAAATAAAATAAAAGTAATAGAAAAAATAGTTTTCCTTTTCTATGCACGCCACTGGATTTAAGTTGTGAGCCAGAAAAACATGACATGACACTTGATATATTATCTCCAGCATCACTAAATGAACCCCATGAATATACTAGTTTATCTTATACCATTTCGGTAATTTCTCGAACTTTAATAAAAACTGGGATATTTATTGGAAAAAATAAAAGCAAGTTATTGAAATCCTAATGACAAATATCAGATTAATTAAATTTTTTTTTTAAATTACATGATATATTTTAATCATATTCATTAATAATATTTGTCAACAGTTTTTTTAGTATGATTTTTTATGATTTATATATTTGGTGATCAATTTATTTAATACTAATTAATTTTAAGTAAAATATTAATTATGTTTGATTAAGGAGATAAAAGATAAGTTTTAAGTTAATTATGTATTGCCATGGTTCTGACCTTTAAAAACACACCTTTGTCACATGGCAACTTGAGAAACTTCCTAAATTTGTGCCTCCTTTAATGCAGGAGAGCATAAACTAATTAGCTTTCCAATTCAATAGCCATGAAAAACATGTGCAGGATATTGATGGAGCATTCTAAAGACATTAGTGGATCCCAGAAAATATGATTGTAAAGCAGAGATATCTCCAATAGCATAAACAAGTTCCAAAATTTTATATTTTGTATATACATCTATCACTTACAAAATGTGACATAAACACAACGCTGTACAGAGTTGACGTAGAGTCAAAGACGTACGGTATTAACAAAATGGTATGTACCAACATACTTAAGGGAAAATTAAGTCCTCTAATGAGTCATTCAATAAATAACAAAACAATTATGCTTTGACAGGAATCAGCCACACAAATTTTCTTGTAATAAGTTTTTCCTGTACATGCTTACATCAAGGAACTGTTTACGTGCACACTACTCCAATATGTACGATAAAGTGAATGTATGATACATTTTTGAGAATCATTAATCTAAATTTTGCGATTGAATTAGATAAGTGCAAAATGCAATTCATATAAAACTAGAGTTGTTTATTAATTTTGTTTTTTTTTAATATTATTAAGATATATATTACATTTAAAAAATATATATATTAATCATATATTTATTATAATAACATCATTAAAATATATTATTATAAAGATATTATTTATTTTAAAATTAATTTATTTTAAAGTTAGATTGAAAACTAATATATATATATATATATATATATTTTTTTTTCTGGTGATAGTTTTATATTTATATATCGATATTAGATCGAAGTCTTTTAAATATTATTTTTTAAAGAGTAGATATTTAGGTTTTATATTTAATGTTTATATGTAACAATTCGTTAGATGTTTGATTTATTAGGTCAGATATGTTCTACTTAAATTTTATATCGGTTATATAATGGGTTAGGACCTGAG